CGTTATTATTATTATTATTAATTAAATATTTGTTTCTATTGCACTTCTAACTAACACTTAGTTTTATGATAATGGAATTATTATTATTATTGTTATTATTATCATTTATTAGCTTGTTTGTTTACTTTTTCTTCATAAATTGCCTGTAACTTATTTTTGACATAATGTGTTTGTCTAATGTTTGTATAATTTACACGTAATTACGTTCATCTACAATGTGCTAAGTCTGTAATTGGCCTTGTGGCTGTTGACTTGGCACATAAATAAATAATAAAGAATTGAATTGAATTGAATTATTATTATGAGTCATGTTTCATTTGGCCATCTAAGTGCACTTACAGTGAAACAAGTACAGGGCGACTGAAAAGTCACACACATCAAAATAAAAGTTGTTATAAATTGTATTGCAGTTAATATATTTCCTACCACTAGATGGTACTGTAGGAGTACTAACAACGAGCAGAAACGCAATCGGTTGTGTATCGGTCATAAGACATCTGCAGTATAGCTTTGTTTATTGTGTGACAGACATGTTTTCCAAGAACAATGAATTTTCATTGTGGCAACCATGGACTTGAAGAGTTTGATCAGGTTTTCCTCACTGACAAAGTGTGGTTTCACCTTAGTGGCTACGTGAACAGTCAAAACAATAGGCTTTGGTCATCTGAAAATCCACATGTGTTACATGAAAAGCCTTGCACTGTCAGAAAATTGGAGTGTGGTGTGCTGTATCATGTCGTCGAATAGTGGGCCCAATTTTCTTTGAAACAACAGTCCAGTGTAACAAGACATCATTACACAGTTTATTGCGATTCTTGAAGTTGATGAATGTGAATGTTGGTTGCAGCAAGATGGTGCCACATGTCAGACATCTAATGTAACCATGCAGTTCTTGTGCGATTGTGGCCCCTGCGTTTGCCTGATTTGTCACCTGCAGATTTTTTCCTTTGGGGATACCTCAAAGGAGTTGTCTATAAAAACAATCTGCATACACTGGATGACCTTAAGAGGAACATTATGATGGTGATTCAGAGTATTAGTTTACAGGTGCTTCACAAATTGGCCTCAAACATGGTAAAAAGAACTCGCTCATGCATTGCTGAACAGGGAAGCCATTTCGAGCATGTGTTATAAAGACATGATTTGATTTTGCATTTATAAGATGTAAGGTTATAAACATTGATCGTAAGTGCTGTGTTTGTGCATTAAACCAACAAAATATAATTGCTTAGTGTGATGTGTGTGACTTCTCGATCTCCCTGTAGTTTCCTTTTCACCTAAAGTAATTAATTAGACTGACTTCAGATCATAATGAGTTTTTAGTGATGGTTATGAGGAGGAGATTGAAGGATAACATTAAAGATAAGTGGGCGAAACTGGCTCTGAATGATGTCCAATTGTTAACAACCCTTCGGGTTCTATTACAGATAAGCTGTTAGTTTTGGACTTGTCTAAATGCTCTTTATTTTCAGGTTGCCCTAGAAGAAGTGCTTCAGATGGTGGCGACATTGAAAGTTTCTCTTGAGGGAGAGAAACCATTCCTGAAGACTTTGTTATATGGTATTCAGAAGAAATCGTTAAAATTGGTGAAACATTTGTATGTAAGCACTCTTGGAATGAAGACATTTCCTCCAGAATTGAAAATGGAAAAGGCAGTTGATGATTTATTCCATGGTAAGGCACATGTGTTAACTGATAATATCAAGAATATTGCTCAAGTGGTCACATTTTGATGTGTATTCAGGAGGTACCCATTTTTAATCTCAGCCAAGGCATCAAGCATCCTGAGTTCCTTTTGTGGGTTTCCTCAGTTCTTTCAAGTAAATGTCAGGATAATATCTCAGATTTGGGCATGATCACTACCCTCCCCATCCTGTGCAGTTCATTTCTTACTGGTCATCCTTCCATTCAATGCTATATAGCTTCAGCTACCGACAGCGTCCTTAAATAAACTACAGACAATATCATGAAAGTTAAACAGTTCCATCTAGTGTGACTGGTGATGATTTTTCTCATTTCAATTATTTATGCCCTTACATGTTTCGGTTGGCGGGGGGCCAAATGTGTGCCGCCTTATCATTCTCAAGAAGAGGGTTCTTTGATGTTGTCCTGTATGGGTTTGTGGCACATTGTGTTGTTTTTACTGTTTTTCACAACACAGCGCACCACAAGCCGCACCCCGCCAAGAGAAACAATAAGAAACACGACACGAAACTACTTGGTTTATAAATTCCAATAAAATCTTAACAAACCAATTACAAATATTTTAATGTATTGGAACAGCAGCTGTAGTTGTAAAAACTTTAGATTTTATACCCAATTGTATATTATTAATATTATATGTATATATTTTAATGTTCAGAACATATATTGTAATAGTAACGTCCAACTGTATTGACGTAAAGGTGTCCCTCTGATGATGGTCTCTGAAGACCGAAATATTTAAGCTCATAAGTAATTGAAATAAGAAAAATCTTCACCAGTCACGCTAGATGAAACTGTTTAACTCTTCATGATATTGTTAGTGTGACGGACCAGAATGAAACAAATCAAATTCACAGATAAATACATATTAACTATTCATATATATAAAAAATGTATGGGAGGTAGATCATTAAAAAGGATAAAAAAGAAATAGGTTACATAATGAATTTATCTTTTTGGGCATGGTGGTCTTCTGTGGTGGCAACTGATAAATCTTATATTCCTTATCAAAAATTAATCCTTTGAGCAGTTGTACAGCATTTGACTACTTACTTGAAGATCTGTACTAAGGAAAAATTATTTGTGTCGCATATGAAATTCGAGGGAGTGGAGTTGGGGGATTATGATCTTGCTTGGCTTATTCTTTGACCCTGAATGTGAAGGTGAAGGTGAAGGTGAAGGTGATGTGCTCCTCTGAAACTTTGGTTGACTTTATGGAACGTTCATAACAATTGCTCTGAGAACCTCAAATCCTGCAGACTAACTCTGTTGTTGCACCAAAGTATGTTTTTTTTCTTCTTCACATCTTCTAGAAGAATTTTCTTCTGAAGCATCTGCAGTTTTTGTTATACAGAGCAAAGTTCATTTAAGATTTTCCTGCATTTATTTTTTAATTTCATTGCTCCAAAGTCTGCAATCTCATCATTAAATTTACTCCATTAAAATTTTTGTTAGTTTAGTGTTGGAAATCTATTGCTCCCCAAAGAAACCTTGCAGCAACTAGTGTGGTGTGGTGAGCTGGAAATTGACTTGTGCTGTTGGTGCCATATTTCAGGGATCAGTTTTTTTTTTTGGCTCTACACTAGCAGTAAATGGTGAGCTGGGCTGAAGGACTGTGTCAGAACTTTTTATGAAGTATCATTTGGATGACCGAGTAGAATGAGACAGTTGGGGCATGGCAGAGACAAGATAGTGTATGGAATTTTGCTGAGGAGGCCCGAAAGGAAGAGACCACTTGAAAGACATAGGTGTAAGTGGGAGGATAATATTAAAATTGATCTTAAATAAATATAGGGGGGAAAGTGTGGACGGGATTCATATGGTTCAGGACAGGGACTGGTGACAGGCTTCTGTGAACCTGGTAATGACCTTTGGGTTCCATAAAAAGTGGGGAATTAATTGTGAAGCTGAGAAACTGTTAGATTTGCAGGAAAAACTGTTCCATGGAGTTATGTGACAAAGCACTGTAAACTAAAAAAGGAAAGAAATGTGCTGAGAGTTTTATGGCATGGTGCCCAGGCATTTACTGTCACCAAACTACAGTGGTAATAGGTGACACTTTTATTTTTCCAGCGATGTACATCATGGTCACACTTTATGTTGTTATGCTTTCCTGAAGGCTTTCCTGATTCAAAACTTGCATAATCGAAGACAAGTTTTGACACACATGAGATTCTTGTAGAATTTTTTGGGATTCGAATTATTTAAAACTTTGTGCATAAAATGAGATTTTATTCATATTTTTATATCCTGCTATTTCAAATTCTATAAAATGCAACCACACTGTATGTTATTTTTAATATATTTACAGCCTGTAAGGAGTGTTCTGCTGCCATGGATGTTTTCCTTTCTGGATCAAATTCTGATGATTCTATGTACCTTTCACGACTGTTGAAGCGCTGTAAACTGATAGTATCGTACATGAAGAAACTTCAGCTTCTTCTGTTGGAACATGTGAATCATGCTCATTCATTAGAGGAGAGAAAAGACAGTGGATCTGCTCCTGTGAATAACTTTAAGGAGGAAGGTAAATTTAATATTAAGAATGTCACATCTGTCTTTAAAATTCTACTTAGATACAGTTTAATAAAAATTGGGTAAAATGCAGTTTCAAGCAGTGAAATAGAGTTGAGGTGAACTAGAATACACACATTCAAGATGCAGTGAAAATCACTGTTATGGGCCTTAAGAACCTAACTTAAAACTAACATGAATTATCAAAGCAATGTGATGAATAAATATAAGCCAATTAACTTTTCCACTGTTGTACTGATAAGTGTTGTGCTGAGCTTCTCAATGCTGAATTATTTTCATTGACTCTTTCACATTCATGGCCTGAGAAATCACATGTATTTAGGTTCATTATCACTGACCCAAAAAGGGACATCTGAATCCATTCCCCCAGATGTATTCATGTGGAGGAATTGCATATGTCTTATGGGTGCCATGGGTCCAATAACTTATTAATGAAAACTGATTATAGACACAGGTGCATATTTATGAACTATCATAATATGAAAGAACATAAAACTATTCTTGAAAGCTGATATAGGATTGTGTATAAGATTAGAGACATACTAAATATAATGCACACAGTAAGACTACACAATGTGAAGCAAGTTTGTGCCACTGGACAAAACTGAGCACACACAATCAGTGCAGGAGCTTGAGGTGCTGCATTTAGTAACTAGTTTGACTGTGGATGAAGTACAGTTGTTGCTGGGTAATTTGTGTCTTAAAGTTACAGGGAAGTCAAATGGGATGACAAAGTATGCACAAGTGCAGAGATTGCACCTTCTGCCTAAGAAAATGTTGTTTTCTCTGCCATCTTTCCCTTTCCACATAGTATGTGATGGTACATGTAATTTATATTTTAGAATTTTATGAGATATAAACTGATGTGATATATAACGGCAGGGTTTTGAATAGGTGAGTGTAAAAAATGGTAAACTTTTCTTTTTGTATTTTTAATGATGAACATTATTGCATCTATGATATATATCAGGAAAGTAAAGATACAAAGTCCAGAATATATTTGTGAAGCATATTTTGGAGGGATTTACTTGTAACACTTTTACAATACACCTTTATTTATTTTTCAACATAATCACCATGAATCAAATTGCACTTAATGAGCCTGGGAACTAGATTTTTATTCCAGAATCATAGAAATCTCCCACCTACTCTCTTAGACATGAAGAACAGTTCTTGACACTTCTGGACATTATTGATGAAGTTCATCGATGGTTAAACGTCTGTCAGCACAAATGTTTTCATCAGTTTTTTGGATGATTTCATCAGTGACAATGGATGGCCTTCCACTTCTTGTTTCATCATGAACATCACTTCTTCCATCTTCAAATTCACGACACCATTTTGCCATGTTTTGCCTGTTCGTAATATCTTCACCGTAAACAGAAACAAGTTGGTGGTGAATTTCAACAGTAGTTTCTCCTTTTGCATGAAGAAATCGAATTACTGCACGAATCTCACATTTGGTGGGATTTTGAATCAACATGACCATTTAAACACATACCGTAAGTACAATGTTGCCGTGACTGTGACCAGTGAACTCAACCCTCTCATGCGGTTCCTATCTCACATGGCAGCACTGCCATTTCTGAAAATAATATGTCCCTTGCATTTTTCCTGGACTAATATCTTTACTTTCTGGATATCTCTTGTACTTCAAATCATTTCCATGGAAAGAGATGTGTGCTGAATTTGTCAAATTTTTAGTCAAACAAGAACAGACCAACCAGAAACAGTTTTAATTACAGACTGTTACATGTGGTCAGCTTTGTGAATATTAACAGAGCCATTATCTATACAATTCAATTTGATCCTTTTACCTACTGCTATCAATGTTTGATTTAAATAAAATCACAGTACTGATGATAAACTGTGACCACTATGTTGGTGTCAGAGTTCTACAAAATGGCTTCTGGTGGCTGTTCTATCACATTTCTTTATGTGTGCCCTACTACCATCCAACAAAGATGCTGATTTTTTTCACTCTTCACAAAGTAAAATCTCTTGATCTGCAGTCGACATGAAAGTATAAATGTTTGAAATATTTGCTTTCAGGTGATACACTTGTGTTTCCCGAGAGTATTCATGGTTTGCCATTGGATATTTCACATAACAGTTCTAAAACAAGATGTACATTTACAGGTAAATACTCTTATATTTGTGAGTGAAATGCAATGAGCTACATTGTAGTAAATGTGTAATATTTCTATTTTCTTATTTTATTTTATTTTTGGCATAAAATTATACTACAAGGTGCTTCAGCTGGGTTGGGCTGGGCTGGTCTGGCAGGGTGGCTGGCTGGCTGGCCTGGTCTAGCTGAGCTTGACCGGCTGGCTGGAGTTGTGTCCTTGAGAAGCCAACAGTCAGTCAGTTTCTCAAAGATGCTCAGTCAAGGATCATACAGTTTTAGAACTTACAGGGTTAATTCCGTTTCAAAAATACCAAGGGAGGCTGGTACCTCGTTTGTGCCAGTAGGGACAGTAGACTTAGAAAGTTGTGCAACTAGCCCCTTTTAAGGACCATGGAATACACCAAAAAACTCATTGGTAGCTGCTGTTCCAGAGTGATTGCCCATCAAAATACTCATCAGGCAAACACTACTTAATCTTCTCTGCTGTGGGTCAAGTGGCAGGGAGATTACCATGGGTTGAGGGCAGGGTTCAGCAGACATGAGAGGGAAGAAGCATAAAGAAGGGAATATTGTAGAAGGGAGATAGGCCTAGAAAGGGGATGGCAGGTAAATTTCAGTTTAGTTTTTGATGGAGGGGAGTCCCCCTTGTACAGTTGTAGCTGTTTCTTGATCTGGCACAGGATTTGTGGAAATATGCTACAAGATATGAGTAGATACTTATATTCTGCAAGTGTCTACAAACACTGACTACATGCTCATATGTTGCACAATACAGTGTGAATTTTCTGCAGTGCCACCATTAATGAATGTGCATGAGTGGGGACAGTAATAATGTGAATGAGGGTACAAAACCTGTTTGCCTCACTTATTAATGGATGATTCTGTTGGTAGTAAGCAACTGGCAAACTGACTGCCTGGAGCATAGTCTTTGAGAAGCTTATAGTTGCTCAAGGGGTTTAGAAATGCCCATCCTTTATGGAATCTGTAGATTAATTACTGAGTTCACAAGAGCTTACCACTTTTGACTGCTTAAGCCACGTGAAAAAAAAACCATGCAAATCTGAGGATCTGTGTAGCATTTCGGAACATATTAATATCTTATGGTGAATCTGTAATTAGAAGTTTATTGTCCAACAATCACTGAATGGTTGCAGTAGATAACAGTGAGCATTTTTTCTCAATATCATATCTCTTAATGCACTCAACTACAAATGTGAGCCTTTGAATGTAAAGAATAAGAGTAATGCAGTATGCTTGTCTTGTTAAAAATCAACCCAATTAAACAATGATCCATATAAAATTTATAGTTCATAACTATAAAATTCTCTGTACATTCATTATTTTGATGTGTAATGAGCTTTGTCAAGAAATCTGACAAATTGTATTACCTGCAGATGGTGTTGCTGTCAAGGAGATGAAACTGGAAGACACCCATCTGGTGAGTGGTACAGCTCTTCTACCTTATCTTGAGAAAGGAATGAAATTGCGTCAAGAGCGAAGTATTTTGTATCAAACTCCCAAGACAGTGAAGGAGAACCATCAGAAGTCAAGTATGGCATACCATACTCTTACACATAGAATCCAAAGAAGAATGTTCAGTCGTAATGAATCAGTAAATGTGGACAAGCATCCAGAAACTAATTTGCTCCACTTTTCAATGGATGATTCTCTTGATTTGGAAGTAACAGGTAATTACTATATTTTCTTGAGTCATTTGTGTATTATAGTAGGATAACTTTCCTGAGAAGTAAACTTAAACTACTACTACCAAAGAAATGTCACTGGTGATATAATCCATACAAAATGTCTTGAGTTTGAGATCAGTTGAATTTCATGCTGATTTCTCTGCATGCCACCTTTCTTACTTCAGCAAGAATTTTGGTCTCTAAAATACACACTGAAACCTTAGGACATTTTTCTTTGCATGTGGAGTGGGGGAAGAAATTGATTGTATGAATAACAAACACTTTAAACGATAAGCACTAAAAGGTGATTTAACCCTTTCCCATTGTATGTCGATATATGATCAACATTGAGTATGCCCTTCCACAAACAAATGTCAATATATGATTGCAAAGTTTCTTTCATGTTTCTCCAATGATAAGTCAGTCATACGTCGCTACATGACCTATACTATACCACTCTAATCATGAATGTTTAGTCTGCATTCTTGTGCCATCTGGGAATCATAATTTGAACTACTTGAGCAATGAATGCCATGCATATATTACTGTGTATCAGAGTTAGCAACATGGCTTCGTGTTCTTGTATACATGGGCCTTTCTGTCATGAAAAAACTGACATATAATGCCATGTGTGTTGAGAACGAAGAGTGAATTATTGCTTTGTTAAATGTAGAAATTGATATAGACTCTGATGATCAGATGGATTTGGAAAATGTAGAAGAAACTGCGAGTGAAGAATCCAGCAACGAAATGTCAGAAAGAGAGTGAGAGTGAAACCAGTGTTATGCATGATGATGAGTGGGAAAATGTGACGATGGGTGACAAGAAACCCAAGGCATACACATTCACTAAAAATGCAGGGCCACAATTTAACCTTCTACCAGATGCAGAGCCCATGGATTATTTTTAGTTTATTTTTCAATGACGAGTTTTTGAATAACATTGTTGCAGAGACAAACAGGTATGCAAGACACAAAATTTCAGAACTTCTATTGTAAGACCTGCAAAAATCAATCGGCCATGTGTCCTGGGGAATATTTTGAAAGATATCACACTCTCAAGGACTTCAAAAAATTTTAGTGTAGGTTCCATAGTTTACTGGGTATTGTTGTTTGTGTACATAGAAGTGTGACAGTTATAAGGAACTATATATATATATATATTGTAACATGTTTTTCTTGCCACTGAAGATGCCGTTCAGATGGTTAATTGGTTTATTTAACAACCTACAAGTCTTGGCTACAATTAATTATAACACTGTTACGGGTTTCCACACTTTACAAACCCTACACACAAACCTCTGCTCATTAATTGTTATAATTCATTCCCATAAATGTTTTATTTTATGTGAGCATTTGTATTCTATCAGACAATTCCCTACGCTGTTTAAGCCTGATACACTGCAATTCAATTATAAGTTCAATGTAGGTGTTCTTATATTCTTAAAATTTATTTTCATTAATTATCACATTTTAAATATCCCATATTTAAGGGAAGAAATCTGCAACAGGCAGACACATACTGATTTATTACTATACTTTATTAGTATGTTTCATAGAACTTTTGAATTTAGTAATAAATTATTTTAAGGGAAAAAATGATGAAGTTTTTCTCTTATACCAAGACACTTTACTAAGTAAGAGAGTAATAAGAGAATGTGATTCTTTACTCTGTGAACCATGCTTGCTATATGTTTAGAGTTAAGCCAAAGCATCATCTCACCACTGCACTTCATTTCCTTTAAATAAAGGAAAAGAAAATATGGGAAACTGAAGAAGCAAATCGACTTGGGAAGTTAAATACACATATTTTGAAACAAAAACTACCGTAAGTGGGTAATATATTATGTATTATTTTTAACATACATTTTAGACAGGAAATCCTTTCAAATGGAGAGCTTGTTAAAAGGGCCAAATATGAGAAAATCATATGGGAAGGTTATAGGATCAAGTTATATAAACATTTATGGTGAGAACACATGTAAAGGGTGTCACATTTTAAGCATTTCACTGTACCATAATTTGTTTCAGATTCTTTTCTCTAGTTTAAATATTTTTCGATCTAGGACAGTCCTATTACTCAGTAATTAAAAACTGGGTAAAGGTTTGTTGTGTTATTTTCATTATTCTTAAAAGAAGATTTATATTTTTCTCATGACAATGTGTATAATTCAATTCTGTAGTGGGATGTGGTAAGTGATTATTGGGTCTGTCTTGAAACTTGAGTGTGTAAATATCTGAGTAAAATTTACCTTCATCACATATATTTAACATAAGTATACATAAAACTGTACATCAATAAAATATGACTGCACATTTCATATTTTTGTTTTAATTAATTGCAGTTTTCTTTTATTGAATTTGTATTTCAGATATACTGGAGAGTCTGACCTCACTATCGAGTACATTAATGACCCAGAATGTGTCCACAGTGTAGTAGTGTGTATCTACTGTTTGCGTCACAGCATCTGAACGTTCAACATTTAGAAGAATGAAGTTTGAAATATAAAAGTATGGAGGACTTGCTAGGATCAATATATCAACTCTGATACATACTTGGTCTGATAGGATATGATAATGCCATATTTAATCCTGAAGTTGCCTCGACTTCATAACTGCCCCGCGAAATTTATGGAGAAGAAATGCTGCAAAATCTTCCAGTGAACTGATGGATGTGACTACTTATGTGCTCAAAATATCCTTTGTCTATTTATTTAAATAACAAGCCATCCAGTATAACAAATTTAATAGAAAGAATCAGATTAGACGAATAGTTTTTTTTTTTGCTAGTGGGGTGGGACTAAGTCCCTTCTGGCCTATTGTACCAGCCTCAGATGATAGGTGAGGGTGATTGTGGAGCAATTGGTGGAATGAAGATTGGCAGGGGAAACCAAAGTACTCAGAGTAAACCTGCCCCAGTGCCACTTTGTCCACCACAAATCCCACTTGACCAGACCCAGGATCGAACCCAGGCTGCTGCGGTGGGAAGCCAGCGACTCATCACTTGACCTATGGCACAGCCCTCGATGTATGGTCTTACACAGCTGGAAGAATAACATTAGAGTCAATTTTAATAACTGGGCTGATCGGATTCATCTGGCTCATTATAGGGACCAGTGATGGACTCCTGTGGTCATAGTGATGAACTTTTGGGGTCCTTAAAAGATGGGAAATATTTTGACAAGCTTCTCAAGAACTACTCTCTGCTGTATTAGCTAGATGGGTTTTATTAATCACTATATGCAGTCCAGCTTAACGAGTTTCCGGTGCAGTATAATATCTACGTAACCCACTTAGCCCATCATTAGCAGTGTCTCATCTATCAGTACGGAGCTCTGTAACAATGCAAGGTGTTAATGTGAAAAGAAAAGTGTCTCTAGTTACATTTACAGAACATTTTGTAGTTCTGTATCTTACACTTATGTGTTTTAATGGATGAAATATTGATGTTTTGAATCTTGGTCCTTTTATGTAGATACTGATATGCAGGTATACGTTGTTAATGGCCATGTGTCATGTTCTTAAATGCTATGTTTTTAGCATAATAGAGTTTGTTTCTGGTTCTTTTTGTTGAGGTATGACTTAGTTGATTCTGATGTTGTGATGGTTATGCTATTGAGAATGAACACTTTAGTATCCTAATAAACTAAACTTATTTATCAACAGACATATTTACATATTAGTGACATACAAAACAGGATGCTAAACATTGGAATGAATATATCAGCATGTCATAAATGAGTCTATCAGAACATGAATCTTCTGGATTAGGGACTATTTTCCAGATTTGTGAACTAGAACATTTCAGATTGAAGGGGAACATGGAAAGAATATGTTTCTTTATATTCTGTAAGGAAGCTGAGACAAACAGTTCATAAGACATGACATTTTATCATTTTCAACTTCCAATTTTTCTGTCTTTCCCCGAATTATTTATTTTTATATTTTCATATCACTGTACACCCAGATGTAAAAGATTTTTGTGACTCTACTGTTGGATTCATTATGAACAAAACAATATTTCACAAGGGTACATACATGTAGTTTTCCCCACTCTTTTTGACAGACAGCTTTGAGAACTTAGGTTTCACAAAACTACAGTTAATCAGAAATTTAGATAAATCACATCCACATAATCAAATTCTTGCTTTACAGTGCAGTTAATAGTAGTTTTATCTGTATGTCATAAAATTCAAAGAATAACACAGTTGTTCAGAAAGAATGTTTTTTTTTAAACAAAGTGGGTATGATGAGCAGATGAGGGATACTACACAGTGACATTCTGTGATCTATACAAATCAGCTAGTGTTGTTCCAATAGTGAAATATAAGTTGTTAAGCTGTACATACAGATCATATGGAGGTGGTCTGAAACATACAAAAAACTTTGATGGATTCAGCCGCTTGGAAAACTGAGGAGGTGGGTGCAACTAGCTTAAGATCATGCCTAATGTTGGAATGTAGTGTTAGCAGTGTTAAATTTCCATGCACTCCTACCAGAGAAGTAGGTTTTGGCCATTGTTATTCATAGCAGCCAGAGCAACGTCATTTGATATGTAAAGTAACAAATGTTTCATTGTCGTAGTTGGCAGTTTTCCTTTCTGTTCCATTTCAAAACTTGATTGGGAAACCAGCTAGCCAGCATGTTTATCATGATTTCCCTCAGGCCCTCCATGAAACATGTTATTCATACTTCTTTAATTTTCCAACGTTTCAGTTGAGTGCCATTAAAATACATTTTTATGTTTCCATTCAGGCATTCATTGTAATTTCTGAAGAAAAACTTGATAAATTTTCACTGCTCACAGATGTGATGGTTAGACAAATTTATTATTGAAACTTATATGATTCAAAAGCTTTATGTAAAGATCCAGATGTCAGTTCTACTGAATATGACAGTAAGTCTGCTATATTTAGTTTATAAATTTTTACCACTGCTAACCATATAACTAATTCAGAAGCATGTACCACCTCACTGTCAACTTGTCTATGTTCATCTACTAATTGGTCCAAGTCTGATCTGTGCTGCTTGAAATTTTCTTACAGTACAAATAATTCTTCTGTTCTGTCACAGTGAAGTCATTTTTCACTGACTTTGGAGTGGAAAGGCTTAATTCTATATGGATGTACTCTGCACAAACATTAACTGATGACTGAGAATGCAGCAGAAATTCACCCTTTTAACACAACATGAAGGCATATAGGTTGACATGAAGCTGTATGTACTTTTTATATGCAGGAGACAGTTGGTGTGGTTTTCTGTACAGTGTAAGGAATGAGAAGATTAACTATTTGAAGACTGGTCTCTGATATATATACCCATACAGAATCCCATTTATGTGGTGAAATCTTGCTGCAAGAAGTGAGAGTGGTTGCCATACAAACAAGAAGTTTTTGGAAGAACTAATCACTTATTTTCTCCTTTCAATATCTATTTAATATCTGATAAGACACAGACCACATAAAAAACTGCATCCAATAGTTCAACTGTTGCTGCAAGAAGGTGTTTACTAAGCTGTTGCCCAGCAACGGCCGTTTCTTCTGGTTCCACTATTCAACTAGGCTCAAAATGGGACTGTCATATATGGCAGCATTTACAGAACATTTTTGTGCACCAAAATAGCATAAGAAACTCAGTATGTTCCTCTCTAACAAACCGAAGGAATGAGGGATGCATATAGGATATTGGTGGGAAAGCCAGATGGAAAGAGACCACTGGGAAGACAATATTAAAATGGATCTTAGAGAGACAGGATGGGATGGTATGGACTGGATTGATCTGGCTCAGGACAGGGACCAGTGGAGGGCTCTTGTGAACACAGTAATGAACCTTCAGTTCCCATAAAATGCTGGGAAATTCTTGAATAGCTGCAGAATTGGCAGCTTCTCAAGAAGGGCTCAGCTCCATGAGTAAGTAAGTATAGTACATTTTTTTACCCACTTTCCTGCTTCATTCTGTTTTCTTGCTTGGCTTATTCTTTGACCATGAAGATGGAGGTGGCACATTCCTCTGGAACAGTGGTTGAATGTTAAGTGGACAACTTAGCCTTACATCCCAGAAGATAGAACTCTTTATATTTCTCTAAATTTCCTTGGACGTATTCTTATTCCATACGATTCCATGTAACATTTCTATTGCAATTTTTGCCATAGAGATTCTGTTTTGAATATCTCAGTCACATGTTCAAACATTACTTATTACTGATCCAACATACTTCAGAGAGTTGTTCTCCTTCCATGTCTTAATTTTCCATCTCCATCCCCCACACACAGGTACTCTTGTCATGTGTAGTAAGGAGCAAAATCCTACTCCTACTCTCCTGGTAGGAATCAAATCTCCAGTCATCCAGCCCTCAGCTAGTTATTTTCACTAAAAGAGGCATCCCAGCATATGTAACAGAAGTTTATATCATAGTAATCACTCACTCATGGGGCTGAGCCCTTCCTGAGAAGCCACCAATTGTGCAGCTACTCAAGAACTTCCCAGCATTTTATGGAGCCTGAAGGTTCATTACTGTGTTCATAGGAGCCCTCCACTGGTCCCTGTCTTGAGCCAGACTGATCCAGTCCATACCATCCCATCCCATCCTATCCATTGTTCACCCACCTACGTCTTAGTCTTTCCACTGGTCTCTCTCCTTCTTGCTCTCCCACCAATATCCTATGCATTCCTCTTCTCCCCCATTTGTGCTACATTCCCTGTCCATCTCATCCTCCTTGACTTGATCATTCTAGTTATACTTGGAGAAGAGTACATCTTAATAATCATATCATATAATACAGGAATATTACAAATAACAACATCCACAGGGAATTTAATTAACTGTTTTAAACGAAAGTGGAAAGTGGCAAGAGTTAACTGCAGAGGATGGAACTGAAGATGTGACACCATACAATCCTGAAGATGCCTACTAACTACACTGCATCACATCGAAAAGACAGTAATCTTCACAGTCACTGATATAAGAACCTCAAATCTCATGAGGATAGAGATATTCAAGCAGCAGAAGTAGGTTTAAATAAGAATGATTAATGTTGATACCTGGTTTGAGACTATATGCCCTGAACCTTTCCCTCTGAGAAGCATAGTCTGGCGTTTGTGATATTTACCAGGCTTTAGCTTAATTAACTGCACAAAAACAAAATTAGCAGCTTCGTCAACTTTTCATGCCAACTTAAACAGATGATTCATTGAAGCGTGTTATAGACCGGTTAACACTAGGAAACCATGCGGCAGTGCAACTCTGAGAAGACTGGCATAATCCATTGCCTCCATTGCCTGGAAGTTGAGTTTCTCAGTCTTTCTGTAAATTGTTCCCGGAAATCGCTGTTGCTTTGTGGTTGCCAATTTCCTTGGTGTGTCCTTGCCCTAACTTGAACAAGTTATAACTTGCAAGTTGAGGGCGTGTGAAGCCGAGAGGTTGTAATGTGTTTTAACTTAATACAAGGGTTGGATATTTGTAATTAAGCATATAGTTTGAAAATAATTTTGGAGTGTCTTATGTTAGTATTTATATTTTGATATTATAATGAGTGCCCCAAGATGGAATGTAAATGAAATAAGTGTATATAAGATTTTTTAAACACCGTCCGGTGTGATTGATAAATGTTGATATTTTAATTTATCATCCTCTACCTGTTTCGGTCAGAAACAACTATCGTCAGAAGGAATTTTGTCAGCAAGTTCAGAAACTACTATTACAAGGTCACGGATATACATTTTGATTTTATACCTTTTAGCTAATACTGGGATGTACATTACTTACTTACTTACTCATGGAGCTGAGCCCTTCTTGAGGAGCCGCCAGTTCTGGAGCTACTCAAGAATTTCCGAATTNCATACTTTGAGAAGAGTACAAGTTATGAAGCTCCTCATTATGCAGTTTTCTCCAACCTCCTATGACTTCATCTCTCTTTGGTCCAAATATTCTCCTCAACACCCTGTTCTCAAACACCCTCAGTCTCTGTTCCTCCCTTAATGTCAGAGACCAAGTTTCACACCCATACAGAACCACAGGCAAAATTATAGTTTTGTATATTCTAATCTATATGTTTTTGGGCAACAGACAAGAAGACAAAAGGTTCTGGACTGAATGGTAGCAAGCATTACCCGAGTTCAATCGCCTCTTAATTTCCTCCTGAATCAGGTTTCGATCTGTTATCGTTGTTCCTAAATATCTGAACTGTGCCACATTTTCAAAACATCTGTTTCCTATCTTTATGTTATGATTTTACCCTGCATTCTGGTGACGAGACAGCAACATATACTTAGTTTTCTCTGTCTTTACTTCTAGACCAACCTCTTTACTTGCGTCAATTAAAGTCTGTGTGATTTTCTTTATGGTATCTACATTATCACCCAGTAGATTCACATCATCGGCGTAGACCAACAGCTGATGTGGTCCGTTTAGTTTCAGTCCCACCTGGCTTCCCTGGACCTTCTTAATTGCACATTCTAAGGCAAAGTTGAAAAGGAGTGGCGGTAAAGCATCTCCTTGTTTTAGACCATTCTGGATTGGAAATTTATCAGACAAATGTTTACCTACACAGACTTTACTATACGTTTCATTTAAACACATTTTAATCAACCTAACTAGTTTCATGTGTATCCCAAACTGTTAGGTGGGTCCCTGTCACCACGGCATGGCGCGTCCTCAGGTTGCGGATGGAGGAGACGCCCTCCAGTTTCGGAGGGAAGCTGTGAATATATTGAATAAGCAGTCGCGGACAGCCGACAAGGGGTGGCCCTCCAGCTTGGGGGTTGGGCGTGGGGCTGACAACTCCTCACCGTAAAAAATCATCATGTTACGAAAATGAACACAAAGCCTCGGATCTGGGATGTACATTAGATTTATTAAAGACATTTAAAAATTATTCACAAATTTATATCCAATATTTATTTTAATCTTGAACAAATATGGCTCGTGTCTTTTGCGCCTCTTCTCCTTAATGGAAAATGGATATTATTAGGAGTTCCTTGCCTGATGTTCAAAGCTCTTTGGTATCGTGATCTAGTTATCCAGGCTACACTGTGTTTTGCTGTACTAGTACAAATGGTGCAGGGCTCTGAAGCTATCACCATTTGTCAAATAACGTAATGTTATTTCAAACTTAGTTCTGGCGGTTGTTGCCATTCTCAGTGCAGTGTCCGTATGAATAAAAAGTTCTGTCATAGCCAGAAGCTCATAAAACTTCCCACGACTCATTCTGAGATGTTTTCTGTACTTTTAAGGATCCTCTTCAGCCAATTCTTTCAATAAATAAATAAATAGATGCACCATACAAATTTCTTCTACGAATCCATTTTTTAACCCATCTTATTCTCCCTTTTTTTTTCAAGACTTCTGTAATGCATGAAGCAACAATGCGCCAATTAACACTGCGCATGCATGGATTTATGCTCGTGGCATCTTCGGTTTCACAAAGCAAATTCACGATTACAATGTAAAAACAACTGAAGCGATGGCGCGCGCTCGTTATGGCTTCCAGCACTTGACTCCTGTAAACGATTCCCATGTGAATTAGGCTTTAGCTTAGATCCGTTCCACTCAACCGGCTCAGAACTTCCAGTATACTAGCAAGCTAGCAAGAGAATATTCTGGCTGATTTCTCTTAGGGCAAAGTCCGTAATAATTCGGATCGAGCTAAACCTCCACGAAGCATCTACATTGCAATTAGTGCAGCCGGTGTTTAACACCGTACACGTGTTAATTACTTGTATAAAGTAAACGTACAGGGAACGAAAAGTTATCTTGTTTAATTCTTTAAAGATTGAATTTCTTCTACATTAGATATGAGAATTCAGTTTGTACCTCGCAGGAAGCACATTACGGCTTCGCTACAAAGACCAACCGGTTAATGTTATTCAGAAAAACTAACACTATTTATTGTTAGAAATGTACGGAACACACAAATGTACTTTGTGTGGAGAATGCAGAGTTTTAGTGTGTTAAAGCAGGTAGTGCATACGTATAGTAGTAACAGTTGGACTTTGAAGGGTTATTCCCATGATGCCTAAAGTCCGAATTGATCGGAAACAGCATCTGACCAACCCCTGACTTGAGCGGACTTGAGCGTAGCGGAAGCAGTGCGTGCTATCTTTCACCATGGCAAAGTAATGGTAGTGTAGGGGTCGTAGGGGTGTAGGGCTTTCCGCGGTGAAATCAATAACGAGCGATAGCGAACATTTGAAGTTAGATAATATATTTTCGTTTTTGAATATCACGGTCATCACGGTTAATACTCGAGAGCAGCATTAAAATAGCTTGGTTTGCGATATATATTTTTTATTGTGGAATATTGAACACTAGCACTTTGACGGTCACAAGGTTTGTAATTAAGTAAAATTTGATAGTTTTTTTTTTGCAAAACAAATTACAATTAATACTTATGAACGATACTTTATACTACAGGTGCAGACAGCGCCGTTAAATAAATCATATACAAAATGCATAGGATATCATTTCTTGGCTTCAGACCATAATGAATAATCATCATATGTATTAATTCTGTTTTATTTTCCATTTGAATGAAGAAAGAACACATTAGTATCTATATTAAATTGTATTTTAATAATTTAATTTATATGTTTTCTTAATATGTCTTCAGAGTGAAAGAGTGCAATTTCAACAGAAAATATGTTTAATGCATCTCCTGATCCACTGAGACTAATTGTGGCATCTAGTCGAGCTCCATGTTTACCTGTTGTTCTGGAGACAGTTCACAGTAATGTGAAAGTTGTGCAGTATAAGTATGAAACTAGCACCCTGGATGACATTCTTGGTAAGACAGTACAAGATACAGAGTTGAGTGAAGTTATGTCACATTTATTTAGTGTAGCACAGCATGATTTATTGAAGTAGACCTAATATTGTCATGATTGGAACATGATGTGGGTCCTATGGAGCCTCGATGAACTGCTTACTAAGTTAATGAGAAATATGGTCTGGTTTCCTAGAAATTTCTACTAATGTGATGAATTTGACCCTTCATTACATGTATTTGCACTGCTTATATTCCACTTATGAAAGGAATTTTGTAATTAAAAGGCTAATATGATGGGCTACCATTTCAGATGCTTTGGGTTTAACGTCTGGATTCAGTGTGAATTTTTTCCTGTGGATCCCCAATCTCGAAACTCACATTCACACAAGCAGACTTCATTAAAGTTTATGTTTTGTGAATGCTGGAAGTACTAGACTTTGTTGCTGTTAGAAGCATGCATTAAGCTACAGTCCACCTTTGCCACAAACTTTTATTGTGTCAAAAAGTGGCTCCCTTCACACTTGTTAGGTTGGCAGAGACTCACTCACTCACTTATGGAGCTGAGCCCTTCTTGAGAAGCCACCAATTGTGCAGTGACTCAAGAACTTCCCAGCATTTTATGGAACCCGGAGGTTCATTACCATGTTCACAAGAGCCCTCCACTGGTCCCTATCCTGAGCTAGATCAATTTAATCTATACCATCCCATCCTATCTCTCTAAGATCCATTTTAATATTGTTCACCCACCTACTTCTTGGTTTTCCTAGTGGTCTCCTTCTTTCCGGGTTTCCCACCAATATCCTATTAGCATTCCTCCTCTCCCCCATTTGTGCTACATGACATGTCCACCTCATCCTCCTTCACTTGATCATTCTAATTATACTTGGAGAAGAGTACAAGTTATGAAGCTTCTCATTATGCAGTTTTCTCCAACCTCCTGTCACTTCATCTCTCTTCGGTCCAAATATTCTCCTCAGCACCCTCTTCTCAAAGACCCTCAGTCTGTGTTCCTCCCTTAAAGTCAGAGACCAGGTTAAACACCCATACAGAACCACAGGTAGAATTATAGTTTCATCATGTCAAAAAGTGGATCCCTTCACATTTGTTAGGTTGGCAGAGACTAGTAAGATAAAAGGATCTCTACTGTATCTTGTAGGTGTATCATTATTCATTGTTGGTTCTATAGATAAATAGACATTTTTACTGACTGCAGAGGTTATTTAGCTTCAAGTCAGAAGATTAATATACATGAGGAACTGGAAACTGTTGAGGAGGGTCTGTTTTGAGGTGTTATCTTGCTACTCTCCTAGAAAAAGAAGCACAGAAATTGTGCTAAAAAGTTTTCTTTTGAATACAAGACTAGTTTGATAATACTGGGCCATCCTGCTTAGTAGAATGTTCATTATTGATAATTAATGTTTTCTTGGTATTGCAGGCAGTATGAATTGAAGTTTTTTATTTTTTGTTGTTACAGCTGAGATCAGCAACTCACTGGGCAGATTCAAAGCAGAGACCATTGCGCTATTGATGCATTGTTCAGAGACTGAAATCTTTATTTGCTTCACAGGGGGGAAGGTATTTTAAGTAATTCCTATATAATGTTTGACAAGGCAATGTGCTCATTTGCCCATGTATCTCCTATGCATGCATGCATATAATGTGTGAGTGTGTGTGCTTTATATGTATTGTTTATGTAATGATGCTGTCAGTAACTCAAAACTACAGTGTTGAATAATAGGATAATTACTGAATAATGTATTGGGTAGGGTTGGAAGGGACTGGTAAAGGTAAAAAGGTAAAGCTATCCCTGAAATAGGCCATGGAGATGCACAGGGTTGTGAGATGCCAAGGCTCCCACATTTTCTAGACAGTCAGCTCAGATGGTGTTGAGGTTGTCAGCATTACATGCCAGCCATCCTTTACCCACAGGAAGATTCCTGCTACTCATTTCTGTTAGTGGCTGAGTTGCCACCAGAGTCATAGTGTGGCTGGAAGGATTAGGGAAATTGAAAAATCCACTGACCTCATGGCGAATCTAACCCGTGACCTTCCGACTTGTAGCATAGTGCCTCAACCAACTATGTGACCATGTGCCCTGGAGGGAACTGGTTGCAACCTAATTTGAGGTGTTAATCCCAGTTGCCTTGAGAGACTGAGAAAGCCCATAAAGAACCTTAGTCAGGTTTGCTGGTCTGTTGTCTAAGATTGAAACTGAGGCCTCCCAAATTAGAGCAGAAGTCCTACTCACTGAATCACAGCAGTTGGTGTGTGTATTTATATGTATATTATACAAGGAGACTCTTACTTTTGTTAACCACTTCATAGCTCCACTTCACAGTGACTGGTGCACTGCTGGCTGCTAGGTGCATTCAAATTTTGCTGATGAATCAGTATGCCTGAGGGCCAATAACGTTTGGAATCAAGGGAAGTTATTAACTTTGTGGACTGCTTGACAGTATTATGTTTCACAGCGAGTGGTATGGTTCATGTGTGGGAATTTGTTTATGATTTGTCAGCAGTGGGCTTCAGTTGTCAGCTCCATTAGCTGCTTTTTCTCAGTTACAATTAGTGAGCAGTGTGGTCCATCTTGGTGTGGTATACTTCAGAACAATGTGTATTTCTGTATGACCCTTACCTGAAATATGGATCTGTTTGAAAGTGTCAGCAAAGATTTTGATGTAAATTTTGTGATGAAAGAGTTCCTAGCAGACTAAAAATTCACAGTTTGGTGAATAAACTTAGATCAACAGGATTCTTAATTGACAAGAAACAAAAACTTAAGTGCCAAGTGCTGTGTGAAATTGATGAAGATCGTCGAAAGACCATTGACCAACTTTCTGAGGAAACGAACATCTCATGGAGCACGGTCCAGCGAATTTTAACCGAAGGTTTGCACATGAGACGGGTGTCTGCAAAATTTGTTCCTCGCTTGCTCGGAGATGACCAAAGAGAAAACCGCGTGAATGTTTGCTGCGACTTGAAGAGTGAAGTGCAGTTTTCCCTGACAGAAAGCAAAATTTCACGTACACTCTTTGTTCCTTGTGGTCGGCCATCTCACTAATCGCCAAAGGGTTGAAACAGGAACACACATAACAGAGCACCACAGACAAACCACTTAACTCAGACTGACGCCAGCTCACTAACAGTCGCGGGAGACCCCCAGCTAACACTGCCTAGCAGCACAACTCGTAACTACAAAGCATGCGCGCGCAACAGGTCGTTTCCGGTTATTTTTGGGTCCCCCTTCGTAGATGCCAATGAAATAAGGTAAAGGTAAAGTTTTCCCTGCTGTGGAGGAGTGGTGGTATAGCTCCATCATTAGTGACCTTCGCACTACATGGAGGTGAGTGGTCAACATCACACTCCTGCCACTTTGTCTGTGGGGAAAGAGTCCTCAGTACCCACTGGATTGGGGGCTGGGTGACCCCCAGAGTTGGTCTGGATGCTGTGAAGAGAAAAGTCTTGCACTGCCAGGAATGGAACCCTGGCCATCCAGCCCACAGCCCATCTCTATACTGACTGAACTATCCCTGTTCCTAGGAATGAAAATTAAGACTTGTATTGTAAGTGAATGCATATCAGCACTTAGTAAATGGAAGCAACAGCATAACTTATGCTGTCTCTTCTCTGTGCATCACATTAAACTGAAAACATATTCTTTATGATTTGCAAAGAGGAGTCATTGATGATGATGTCAGATAGGCCATGAAGCTTATTATTTTCTATGCATATAATACATATATCCATGCTGTTAGCTGTAATGTATGTGATTTCTTAATATATTGTTTCAGACAAACTTGAATACTTCCCAAATCCACTGATTCCATAATCATTGGTAAGAAGTGGATCAAAATTAGCACCGAGTGTTATAAAACCATAGAGTTCAGTTATATGGCAAATTAAGCTTTTCATTGTCTCCCCTAGAAGGCGGTTCATGTTCAGCAAGTGTGAACATGACTACAATAACACGTTCAAGTGCATGCCTTCAGTGCTCTTGCACTGTTTTGTATTGGTCCTTCCAGGTGTAACTTCAAGGTTAAAGCATGTTGCATCATCAAGTAGGTAAGGATAGCTGTGGTGTGAACCTCAAGAGTTCTCATGATTTTGAATTCCAGTTGAGATTAGCAGTCATCAGACCCACAGTTAGCTAGTGCTGTTGGTGATGTTAAAAAGAGAAGCAATAAACACAGCCGGTTGAGCATGTGCTAGCAGGATTAGCAGAGAGGATGCCTGGTGTGGAATGGGACTTGAGAATGTGTTGGTAGGCTAGCAGCCATTGGCTCCTCTGAGTCAAGGTTGGACAACCTTTGGACGATGTGAGTGGTCCAGCAGTGCTGGAAGCAAAACTGTTTCGAATGGGAGGTCAGGTTTCAAAATATTGGGGTAGATTTTATATGAAAGATTAATTAAGCCAAAGCAGTTTCAATTGTAATACTTTTCTTATTTATCTCTGATATATTTTGAGGCCGTTTATAACTTGAATCCTGAAGCAGTCCATTAATGGTGTTAGTGCTTCACCCACCACACAAATTTGGATGTCTACCATGTTGTTGATGATCATAGAAAATTATAAATAATGACCGTGGGGTAGCTTTCAGGGGCAAAATCTTGAAACCAAGTTCTGTGAAAATCTGTCAGTTGTCCAGTACAGTGTTTTTGTATGCTGAACTAGTCATATTCTCATTTTCTTTCTGTAAACAGAGCTTTACTGTTTTTGCTAGCTTGGTGTACAGTTTTTTCATATAACTTTGGTAGGTCCACTGATTTTTGTAATTTAAAAATTAATTCCTGAATAGGTTCTGAGTCTGGAGAGTGTTAAGATAGATGTGAGCATTCGAGAATTTCTCAGCCACCTTGTGGGACGCAACATGAAACTGTCTGCTCCAAACCGTCGTCTGGATTTCTTGAATGCTTCTCCATCTCTGCATGTGAATGGTGGTCTTATGGCACATCAGTTGGAAATGTTGCTAAATGTGAGTGGTCATTTATCTCTATTATATGTGTCATTACTGTAGACTGAAAGCAGAGGTTTGTATGTTGATACTACAAGAATCTGTTGTACTGATGACAAAATGATTAGAGAACTGAGCAGCCTATTGATTGGTTTGAGGTCATTCTTGGACAGCTGATAGTTATTGTGGGGTGTAAGAAATTCTTTGTTATTCAACTCAAAGATCATCACTGTCACCACAGAACTTGTCATGAGACCCTGTTTTGATCAACTTCAGCCTAGTTTATATATTTTCTATCTATGTAAGATCCATATTGATCCCATTACACCATTTTCAATGTCACCTTCATTTAAATTTCTCACCAAAGCTGTATACACCTTTCTTGGTGCTGCCTTCCAGGGTGCACGCGCAACCTAATATATATTCTTTGATTTAATAAATGAAGGGCAAGGGTAAGGTCATAAGACACAAGCCCATATTCAGAGGTTCCTGGGTTCAGTCTCTGATAGATCTTACTGGAAATTCATATTTGCACATATCAAAGTGCTTGCCAGTTTTTAGACTTTAGACGTTGGGAATGTGGAGAATTCAAGAAAACTGTTCTGGTTTTGAGCCCCTATAAAGGTGTGGGTTCCTAACATCGTTCATCATGCTTGACATCATCCTGTTTCATTGGAGCAGCAGAATCCACTATATGGCTGCTGTCAGCTCAGAAATTCTCTCCATGTCACAGGAACAAGATAGCTGACAGTGGTGGCCCATTGAGGGGTTGGTCTTTTTCCTGACAGAGAGTTATGAATGGGATTCTCAAGTTTTCTTTTTTTGTCATCTTGCCTTTACCATTTTTTGTGTGCAGTCTCTACTGTGCTGTAATCTTCTCTTTCTTCCTCTTCACTGGTCCCTTCTGCATATCCCTTATGCACCAGATCACCCACATTTTGGTTCATGATATTAATGCACTGGTAAGCCCTGGGTGGTATTGCTGAGAAAGTTAGAAATGCATTACTATTAAAGAATGGAATGCTTCTGGTTGAAGTTTGCAATGAAAAGGTAGCAGCGGTACTCCTTAAGGCTAATCTCCTCAGATCTCATACACATCTAGAGGCATCCATTTCTGACCTGCTTCTAGGGAGTTATAACCACTGACTCTGGATGGCATGGAGATTCAGTTCTCTTGTTGACCATTGCATTTCTACAGCATGCAGGATTACTGAGAACAGAAATGACAAACCATTCCCTCTTAAACTGTCTTTCTGACTTTCACAGTTACATCTTTGCTGGTTCAATTTATGTAAGATATTAAGTGTTTTCTGTATATCATTATAGTCTAATCCTCATCCGTAGCTTATTACATCAGAACTGTGGGCACACAAAATAATATTGTTACCTCCAGCCTCTCTTTGGCATTTGTGGGGAGAATGTCCATGGTGAGGCATAGTGTCCAAGTCCACCATGCTATATTAATTTCACTGGAGTGCATGCATCTACTAACAGTAACATAAAGTGTTTCATTTTTCTGGACAAGAAACTAATCAGGAACTTTGAGTCAAGTAAGGCCTTTCTACACGAGATACCTATAAAAAGTTCTTAGAAAGCAAAGTATAGGATGGGAACCAATCATATGCATCAGTCCTTTACTCCTGTCCAGAAATTGATGCTGCCATCCAAACTACATACTTCTCCAACTGCAGCAACTCATCCAATTTACACTTCACTCTGACCCTTGCTACAGTCCAACCCAGACTGGAGTACCTGCTCAGACTGGTAGTATATCCAGTCGTGATGTACATACAGTAGTTTAGAGATGTAATAATCCATATCAGTCACCAGCACACACCAGGGATATCCAAGCAACGTATTCTGACCATTCTAGATCTCTCAATGTAAATCTCATTAGCAAAACAGAGTTTGCTTTCCCATTCTCTTTCTGGTATCCAACACAAGCAGTCAGGCCCAGCAACCATACATGACTGCAATAGGTCCACATCTGACATATCTGACTTACAGGCAGCTGCAGGCAGGTAAATGTAGGTGACTAAGTCTGCTAACTTGCTTGACTCTTTACAGCTTCCTGTGGGGATGTCTAAGGATCTGTTTGGAGCCAATGTACGGTTGACTAGGATGAGATCTGATGCAGTCCCTCTTCTTACAGTTGGTGAACTCTATTTTAATGTTAAGAAACTACAAGACAAGCTTCATACGGAGAACACTGATGCAGGTGAACGAAGGTTGGAAGGATACGAGAAGATTCGTACAGTAGGGAAAGGTACGAATGGATGAGGGAATGTCCCCACATAATGTAAAAAAAATATTTGTAGGCAGGGAAAAATTTCTGATGATGTTCTGTACAATGCTTTATAAACTTATTTATTATAATAATAGACTACCATTTTTATAGCTGTGGTCACAATTTATTCTGGTACACACTCTGTTCACAAAGAATTAACTTGAAATCAGGCCATGTGATGTATTGAAGATGAAGCCCGAACTGATATTATTTTGGCTATTAGACCAGTTTTAGTCTTGAGAAGCCTCAATGGAGTGATGGTTGTAAGGGAAAGTATTTAGAGGATAACCGGCTCCAATTTAATTATGTCCAAAATAAATCATTGTTAAAATGTCCTGAGACTGAATCGACAAAAATTCTGAAAATGTATTTATTTATTGTAGAGGTAGATTAGATTAGATAAAGTTAGATTAAAGGAAGTGATAGCCAGGATAGCGCAGTCAGTATAGTGACTGGCTATGGGCTGAATGGCTGAAGGGTCAGAGTTTGAGACCTGATGGGCAAGATTGTTCTTCTCTCCACATCATCCAGACCAGTTCTGGGGTTCACTAAGCCTGCTATACAATGAATACCAGGTCCTCTTTTCCTGGGGGTAAAGTGACTTGGTCGTGAAGCTGCATATGATTGTATACAAGGTGTGGCAATAAAGAAACCGGATTCATGCTCTAACCCTTTATTAAAAAAAATCAGACAGTCGAAATGTTATTCCCTTCAATGTAGTCCCCTCCCCGATCCCTACACCGCTCCATGCGAATTTTCCACTGTTGGAAGCAGTGCTGCAGGTCATCTTGTGTTATGCTCTTCAAGAGTTGCGTCGCTTTTGCTTTCACTGCATCCACGGACTCGAACCTGGTCCCTTTCAGCGCAGACTTGACTTCTGGGAAGAGAAAAAAGTCGCACGGTGCTAGGTCCGGAGAATACGGTGGATGTTCCATCACTGGAATGTTGTTTTTTGCCAAATACCTCTTCACAGATAGCGCGTTGTGTGCTGGCGCGTTGTCGTGATGAAGAACCCATGAGGCATTCTTCCACATGTCTGGTCTCCTTCGTCGCACACGTTCACGGAGGTACGTCAAAACATTTTTATAATAAACCTGATTGACAGTCTGACCTTCAGGCACCCAATCAATGTAGATTACCCCCCGGATNTGTTCTGCATTAGCACTCAGCATTATTCCGACGGAGCTCAGAAACACGATCCGCTTCTAACAATGGTCGCGGCCAGACTAACCGATGCACGTGAATGAAACTTTGTGTGACGGTAGAGGGAAGTCCAAGGGTCAATGCCCTACCCTCCTCTTCGTCAATGACGTGGCCGGAAATGAGTCATAAAAGTAATCCGGTTTCTTTATTGCCACACCTTGTACATCCACTTCTCCATATGTCTTCATGGTGTAGTTCTTAATTAGTTAAGAACAGGGACAACTTTACCTTTTTTAACCTTTTAAAATAAAATAAGTGAGCATTTAATAGTTCTTTCACCATTACTGTCTTAATACCTGTTGTGCATCCCCTGTAGCAGTTGTGCGCTTTAAATGAAACAACAGTATTCTATTCAATGGGGCGTTATGATAGTCACTTTGTTTCATAAAATAGTATTCCAGGTGACAGAATCTTATTCTGGTGGGACTTCCCATTTGCCCCATACGTGCAAAGGCGTCTCTGCTTTGTTGTGGCATCTTACACATGTGGGTCTATTTTTCAGTCCTAAGTGACTGGAGTGTTTTGTAGTTAGTAATTTTAATATTAATAGTTCTGTCATTTATCTCAACTCATTCCTGTCATACACTTAATATTGTGTTGTCAAATGTAGGATGGTACGTGTGACAAAAATGACAGGTTCTAGTTTGGATGATTCGATTTATTAGCATCTTGGTTACAACATCTCTTAATTACACTTAAATTACAGGCAGTACAGTACTATCGCTGATTTACACACTTTACATTTCACTGTTACATGCACACTAGGATTCTTCATCTTCACTAGTTTTCTCCTGGTGATGGATCTCAGCACAGAAACTAGCCCTTCAAAACACTATGAAGTCCTCTTGTCATTTCTTGTTCAATCCCTCTGGAACCCAAATGCACTTTATCACTGTCACTTAAAAACTGAACTCTGTTCTGTCTGTAACCGTCATTGTATAGCCTTCACACCGACCACACAGAAAACACAGCTTCTATTGTTGTAGAGGAGTGTTTACTGCAACGTTGCATAGTAACGATCACAGAGTGGACTGCACAGAAAATACAGTACTTCTGTTGTTGCATGCATGTATGTTGCGAACGTTACTTAGCAATGGCTGATGTTTACTGGTTCATTGCTTAGCAACAGGTCTATATGCTACAGTATTTAAGCATACTGTTTCATTAATATACTCTTCATTCATGCACTATACATCCACCCACAATGCAACTCATTTTTTATTTCCATCTCCCTCTTCTCACTACACTACAACTGATGATGGCCGTATACAGCCAAAACAGTAGTGAGGAGAAGCAGAGAGAAATAATGAGTTGCATTGTGGACAGTAGTATAGTGCATGAATGAAGAGCCTGCCATACCCTAATAGCTCTCTAATTCTTTTAATAGAGAAAATCCTTCACCTGTTTTTGTTCACATATATATTGCCAGTGTTGTAGTATATTCTGTTCATTCAGTCCCTAATGGCCTACATAGCAGCTGTTTCCAAGATGCCACAAGCTGGTTCAGGTTGTGTAAGTGGTTGTTCAGGACCTTTCTTTGCCAGTTAATCAGTGATTTCATTCCCTTCAATTGCAGTGTATTCTGGCATTCACATCATCTGTGCTGTCTTATGCACAGCCCGTTTCTTTAAGGACTGGTGGCAGTTCCAGATTAACTTTGAGTTAATTTGATAATTGTCGAGTACCTTGGTCGCAGCTGGACCATCTGATAGACTGTAGATGGGCTTACCCTCCATCCAATGAGTTCTACTGACTCTGTATAGATTAAGAAACTTAAAAAGTGGCCAAGGTCCACAAGGGTTATAGAGCCATAGATGGATGTATGGACGGGTGGGTTTTTCTTCAGAATAAAATGCAAGGTAATGGTGTATATATTATGGTTGTCCCAGCATCAGGAATGTGTTGTTACAGTGTTTCTCCATAGTCTTCATGTAAAGTATTGGGTAATGCTGAGTTGATAATTGTCTTGTATATCCCTTGTTGCTATTTGTGCCAGAGATGTGGTAGCAGAGATTTCAGTAACTTGAAATTCAAATTACTGACATCTCTGCTAACACATCTCCACTAGATATGTGACTGTTAGCTTCTAAAGAAGGGCTCTGATACATGAAATCAGTTAGTTTAGCTAACTTCTTTTATTCAGAAAGGGCATAACTGTTCCAGGGAATAAATTTCATTTGATACTAATCTTGTTTCATTAATCCCTCCTATGGTCTGGGTTCTCAATACAGAGACAAGTAGTGATTCTTAATGTTTCTGTTCCAACAGGAGCATTTGGTACTGCTGTTCTGTATCATAAAGTTGCTGATGACACATTAGTTGTTATCAAAGAGGTAAACATGATTGACCTCACAGCATCTGAGCGACAGATGGCGCTTAATGAAGTTCAAGTTTTATCAAGTTTGGACCACCCAAACATCATCAGGTAAGACTTTCAACCTAGTGAAGTGATTTCTCCATTATGTCCTGCACTGTCTGCTTTTGGCGTCTTATCTCAACCTGCCCTCAACTATTTCCAATTCACAGCATTCACTATTTCATTTCTGCTTCTCTCTATGCTGGACATATGTCGTTGCTATCCTGCACTCAGCTGGATTCAGACTAAGACTGTCCTAACAAGCTTTGCAACTATGATTTTATACATATTACAGCTCTGAGAATGTTTGCTCCCTACAGAAGTGAAGTGGTTGTCTATACTTCTGAAATTAACTGGAAGAAGCGGGAGTTCAAGTTTTTCGAGAGATGTTTGCAGGCCAGGCAACCCCTTCACTGCTTGTTTGGCTTCCATGATAATATCATCAAATATGCCATTACTCTCTGTGTTATGATTGTTACCTATTCATCATTCATGTTCATCTTCTCAGTTGATTTGACCTCTGCAGATAAAAAAATATAACTGAATGGGTCATATAGTCAGTGAGCTGCTGTAAATTGCATTCTAACTTTGTACAGTAAACCCTTGTACAACATGAGGGGGAAGTCGTCCAGAAGCAGTGCATCTATGAATCTATGCTGCAAGAACTTAATGGTAATGACAGCTCAGCCAAATATTTTCATTCTTACATATGCTGAATAAAACAAACCAAATTGCGTGCACAGGTACTTATGTCAAAGCTAAATNTGGACAAATCCACATTGGAGTAGGGTTTGCTGTAATGGGTGACTCTAAATCAACCTTTAACCAAATCAGTAGTGAAATCTTATTGCATGCAAGTATAATATTACATTTCACAAATAATTTTTATATAACAGTGGTATGTCAATAGCAGCAGTTGTTTGACATCCATGGTTATCAGAAGATGATTGCATTTGGTGAACTTGAAAGGTTTTGGTTGGAATCACTCATGGCCTGCACCCTGTAAGAAGTACTGTCTGACATTTGCGTACAAGGACTGGAGGAAATATGAATGCCTCAGCCAGGATAGTTTGTATCCCATTAAATATTTGATCTGGGTATTTCCCAAATTTAAGTTAGAAGTGGGATAGTGCAGTTGGTTTAGCAACTGGCTTCAGGCTGGACGACCAAGATATTGGAGTTTTGAGTCCTGGTAGGGGCAAGAAAATTCACTTCTCCTTGTCCAGACCAGCTCTGGGGCCCACCCAACCTCCTATTCAATGAGTACCGGGTGCTTTTTCCCTGGGGGGTAAAGCGGCCGAGGCGTGAAACTGACCTCTCACTTCCAACTAGTGCCGAGGTCAAGAGAATGTGGATCTATATATCGACGCCCCCATACACCTTCATGGCCTAGTGCTTAATTAGTGAAGCACAGGGACAACACAGCATTAATTTTGAGCCAGCATACTCATAGAATTCCAGGAAAGGATTTTGGTAATTATTCTCTTGAAAAACACATTTAATGCAGAGAATAGGTGGGGAAGTCATCAAATTTTAATTATCACCCAAAAGAAACAGAGAGACAGGTGCAAGAAATTGTATGGGAGTTAGTCCTTCTCTGCATATGCCCCCTGCAAGGCCACACATTTTCCCCAATGATGCATTAGCTGCTGGATACCTTGATCATAGAAGGTCTCATTTTGACTTTAGAAAGTCCTTCACTGCAGAAATGATGTCATCATTGTCTTGGAATTGCTTACCACGAAGTGGCTTCTTTAGCTGTGGAAAGAGGAACAAGTTGCTCGGTGCCCGGTCTGGTGAATATGGTGGAAGGTGGGGAATTTCATATCCCAAACTGCTAGCAAGTGTCATCGTAGCATGAGCTGGTGTGTTGTTGTGAAGAAGTCGCACACTTTTTCCCAGCATTCCACATCACTATTTCTTGATTTCCTCCTGTAATTTTCTCAGAAGTTTCCAGTAGTACTCACCAGTGATGGGATGCCCTTTTGCCCCTAGTCCGTCATGATGACACCCTGCCAATCCCAGAACACACACAACATCACCTTTCCTCATGAGGGCTGGGATTTGGCCTTCTTTGGTGGCAGCGAGTCTACATGTTTCCACTACTTGCGCATTTCCTTTGTTTGAGGGCCATAATGATAGTCCCAACATTCAGCCATTATGATCAGGTGATCAAAAAATTCCACCTTTTCTTCTTGACACAACTGCAAAAGTTTCTTTGTCACATCCAACTGTTGCTGTTTTTGAACTGGTGTCAATAATTGTGGCACCCAACGCACAGCGACTTTTGTCGCGTGTAACTCATCATGGATGATGCTGAAAACTGATCCATGGCTAATGCAGACCTCATGAACAATAGCTTCGATAGTTATATGCCTATTGGATGGGATCAAAACTTTCCACCTGTGCCACAATTCCTGGTTCCTCAGTGAAAGATGGTCTTCCATTTCAGGGTTCATCTTTGAGGTTTATCTGTCCACAATGAAAGTGCCTCTTCTACCTGACCACTGTGTCATATGATGGTACACCTTCCTTATACACAGAGGTCATCTGGTTGTGGATCTCCCTGGCAGACTTCCCTTGCAAATGCAGGAACTGTCCCACAGCACGAGCCTCCACTTTCTCAACCAATGTCGCCATTTTATTCTGCCCCTTCCTGTGGCTCCCTCTGTCCACTTGTCATGGGAAAATTTGACTGTTCGGCAAGCTCAGGAAATGGGCTATTTCCTATATAGAACAATATTTTGGAATTATGTTTTCTCATGGTGTAATTAAAACATTATGGCTTCCCATCATACATAGTTTATTTTGAAGTAAATTACTTACAGCTCAAGGTTACCAGAGTGCAGAGCTGATAGTTCATAAATTCATTATCTGCACTTGATGTCAAAGTAGGGAATGGAAGGAGATGTTTGTCCATGCCTTCTACATGCCTTGGCAATATGGTGTCATGTTGCAAGGGTAATTTGGCTTTAGATATTATGATAGAAACAATATGTGCAATGTTACAGTTACTTTGGTAGCTTTGAACGTGATGGAGTACTCATGATAGAGATGGAGTATGCAGATGGTGGCACAATGGCACAGATGTTGTCACAAAGGGCAAGAAGACTTGATGAACGTGAGATACTCGTGTTGTTTCGACAGATTGTGGCTGCCATACAGTACATGCATGATCATAATATTTTACATAGGTATGTATAGTGTCAGGTGACACAGGGCAGAATACATAAAATAGTTTTAGTAGCAGGTCTGTATTTGTGCATCATGGAGCAAATTTTATAACAGTCACATCCTGTCATTCTTGCATTAAACTTTACTATCTTAGAAGTCAGAGTAATTTCTGTATTGTCCATTTCAACTGGAGGAAATATAATGAATTTGATTATTTTCTCATAATTTATAGTGTTATTTTGGAACTGTGTTTCATAAGGAGAGCACTCTTTCACACCATAAGAATTGAAAAAATTATGAGAGAGCTACAAATTTCACAAGTAACAGACTTTATAGAATATCACAGAAGCAAATGGAATGGACACATTGACTGGTTGTGCTCTTATGGGATTCCAAAAGAAGGTCTTGAAAAGAAAAGTTTTGGAAGCCCTCTGAATGTTGGAAGAATTCTTTTGTAATATCCATAATAGGACTCAGTAGGCTACAGATGGATGATGATGATGATGATCATCATCATCATCATCATCACCATCATCACCATCTTGGAATAGCAGAATGAAATGTATTTATCCAAACCACAATCTATCTAAGTTTAACTTATAAGATATTTTAGGTTTCCATGGTGATCAAAATTTAGATTGTGGTCTTCTGGGTTATGATACTCCATAGTCTCATAGATAGGTACCAGCATCTTGGAGGAACCTGCTGCCTCAGATATTAAGATAGAAGACAAGTACTTACTGAAGATGTGCCTGCAGTTTCCTCTACTATCCTTAGTGTCAGTTCCACAGTCTTAATGTGCAACACTAACATTCTATAACATTTATTAAAAGCTATTCACTTTAAAGATTTGTACTACATGTTTTGACCAATGTGGTCATCATCAGTTGTTAAAATTTATGGCTGAGGAAACTGCTGTCTTCTTTGTCGTTGCTTAGTTTGTTAATACGTAGGTCGTACCGAAAGTCATGAGCAACTTTTTTTTGCATGCAACCTGGGAACAGCAGATGAAAGAGAGTATGATCTGTTGTGTTAACCTTGAGTGTCTTGTGATGTCAATAGCTTGCATCATGTGACCAGTATCACTCCTAACAAAATGGCCGAATTTCTTGTGAAAGAGGAAATCCCTGCTGCAGAAATTCACCAGAGACTTCAGCGTGCTTGTGGAAGTGTGTGCATGGGTACGAGCAGTGTTCAAAGATGGGTGAAACATTTTAAAGATGGGAACACCAGCATCGAAGATGAGCCTCGGAGCGATCATCCTCGAACAGACTCAACTGAATGCAATAAGGAAAGAGTGGATGAGATCATTCAAGATGACAGGCATGTGACTATGGACACAATAGCCCAAAAACTTGGAATAGGGCACAGTGCAGTACAGGAGATGATTGAAAGCTTAGGCTATGGGAAAGTTTGTGCTCATTGGGTCCTGCAGTTATTGACCGAAGACCACAAAGGTCAGCGAAAAGCCATCACCTCAGAACTGCTGCAGAGATATCGACACAAAGGCAATGATTTTTTGCTCTGTATTGTGACAGGTGATGAAAGCTGGTTTCACCATTTCGAGCCTGAAACAAAACGGCAGAGTATGGAATGGCACCATTTGCATTCTCCATAAAAAAAGAAGGCAAAGACAGTGCCATCAGCTGCAAAAGTGATGTGCACAATCTTCTGGGATGCAGAGGGGTTTATTTTGGCCGAATTCCTGGAACCTGGGCAAACCATCAATGCTGCTTGTTATGTCCAGACACTGCACAAGCTCCGTCCTGCATTGCGTGATGAACGTCCAGAATGAAACATCATCCTGCATGACAACGCTCGCCCCCACACTGCTTGCCTCACATTGGAAGCAATTGCAAAGATGGGGTGGGAAGTTCTTCCACACCCCTCCTATAGCCCTGATCTGGCACCCTCTGACTACCATCTTTTTGGATTTGTCATGGATCAGCTACGTGGACAACGTTTTGAGACAAGGGAGGCAATTCAGAAAGCAGTGCGTCAGAGCCTTCAGATGGTTGGAGTGGAATTTTACAGAAAGGGAGTTTTCAAACTCCCAGAACACTGGGAGAAATGTGTACAAAGAAGTGGTGATTATGTGGAAAAATAAAGACAGGTTTGTAGATTGAGGTGGTGTATTTGGTTTGTTAATAATAAAGCATGTTGCTTTACAAAAAATTGTTGCTCATGACTTTCAGAACGACCCTTGTATATAGTCTTCTCAATGTGCATGTGTGTTTGAGGTGGTGGGTTGTGTTCCTTCCTGTTGTGTTATGTTGCATGTGTTTTTTGAGAAGCATTTCAGATACCAAATGAAATGTGAACAGGATGCTACAGTATAATATTATTCCTCTAGTATCCATCTATGAGACCACAAAATGTCATGTATCAGAAGACTGCAGTCTAAGAGAACTATTAAAATTTCCTTCGAAAGTTACAAGTGAGCACACAGGCCATTGTACAGACAGACCATAAATGTATCAGGTGACATCATTCAGGTTTTTGTCCACACATTTAGTGTTCTCTGTATTAATATAAGCTTGACTTGAGGGCACAGAGAAAGGCTGAAGAAAAACCTGAAAAGTATCAATTTGTAACATCTTCCAAATAGTGGTTCAGGCATGCATTGTGCCCATTGAAGGGTGCTTGGGGTTAAACATGGAACATGTATCAAAGTAAGCATTGTTGTGTACTGTAATGTTTGTTCTTTCTAATTGAAAGTACACACATCCACAAACGCACTTGTGCATTCTCACACAAACACTTACAAGACAAATGCATATGCCCATTCATGGCCTCACCCTAGCATGCGCTTATGTGCTCTCTGTTTCTCCCTCCATCTCACACAAACACACACACACAAATTCCCCCTCCCNTCATATTTTATACCTGTGGTTTTCTTTTTCATAAGGGACCTGAAGACAGCAAATGTATTTCTAAACAAAGACAACAGCATAAAAGTTGGGGATTTTGGAATTTCCAAGATGATGACAACTCGTGCCCAAGCCCAAACAGTGCTAGGTACGCCATACTACATCAGTCCAGAGATGGTAAGAGACGAAGCAGCTATCTAGAAATTACAGTGGAACCTGAATGTTACAAGAATTTATAAAATTCGTAAGATTGCTTGAAATGGATACTTGTAAAATCACAGAATGGTTGAATATGTAAAGACAGTGTCACATAATTTTGAACAAGGCCCCGCATTCCTAGTCAAATCCTGTGCATAGCTTGTGGTGGGAGGAGTTTCTTAACACTCGTTCTTCCCTCGAACCCACCACTTGTCTGAAATTTTTCTTCTGCGCATTCAAGATTACTCTTGGCCTTGTTCGAAGTTATGTGATACTTGCCATAACTGCTAATCTGTCCGCTAACTTCCAGTTACATATAATACAATTAGGTGTAAGTAAGAATGTTGTTACTACAGTATTCCATCTTCACTGAAGTGATTATCTTGGGGTTATGAAAGCAACAAAGAACAGTTTAGCATTCTAATCGCTAGCATTAATTGAACTGATGAGTTAAACATTTTCTTAAACGTACATAACCTCATGATTTGTTTATTCCGTCTTGCAGTGCATACACTTATCTATCTTCTTCTTTCACTTTCACTACATGTTTCGGCATAAGAATGCCATCTTCAGGTGCTACTCAATTCACGTCAAACTAGTACATTGTATGCCTTGTCTTCACTTTAAAATAACTAAAATATATGTCCATCATATATATTGACAAATGTCAATCGTAAAAATATTAAAACTGTCCAGGGTTCCCGATCGCTACNCACCACTACAACATCTATGGGTTCACTGACTTATAAGTACTTTATTCTTCCTCATCTATTCTACATGTCATTGTAATGTATATGGAATTGGCTGGAAGAATATAAAATACATGTTTCTACAATTTTCATATAATGAATACACTAAATATAGTATTTCCATGCATTTTTCAGTGTGAGGGCAAGCAGTATGACCAGAAATCAGACATATGGGCCCTGGGTTGCATTTTATATGAAATGGCATGTCTACAGAAAACCTTCGAAGGCTCTAACTTACCAGCACTTGTGAACAAGATAATGAAGGTATGGACCCTTTGTGTTCGTAGATTGTGTACCCTTAATTCAAATTATTGTAACAGCAGTGGATGTTTCACATTCATGAGCAATTCCTAGCTGAGGTATAAAAACTGTGCTACACTAAGGTAAATTTAATCTGTGGAGTGGATTGAAGTGTCTCAAGATAGGGCTTTTGTGATGACAGTAATGGATCCATGAGTTCTATGAAGGTAGATAATTTATTGATCAAATAATTGTCAGATGCTCAAGAAAGACCTTTGTCATGAAATTAGATATTCAGTTATTTAATTATTTGTTCATAGTGAGTGTGTTAGTGCACGGTCACCTATCCTACTGGGGTTACTTCATACCAATGCCATATGTTTTCAGGGCCATTTTCAGCCAGTACCTGGTGGCTACTCTCCAGGCTTCCGGCAGCTGATCCATGATCTGCTGCAGAAGGATCCAGTATTCAGACCAACAGCAGCAGAGATACTTGACTGCCGGTTACCCAAGCTGCTGGACTCACTGAGGGAAGAAGGAGGACACTGGTTCCTGGACCATGATGGTTCCTTGCCCAATTTAAAGGCCTCCTGCAATAGGTAGCTGCATATTACATATCTCACATATGAAAAGCTTGTAGTTTCTCAGGGCTCATTAAGAAGTTATCTGCTCTCTATACAGGGTGTTTCACGACTTTAGGGCATAACTGCAGGAGGTGATTTCCTAGGTCTTTGTGATCAAAAAAGTTCATATAAACATGTATCAGATTTTGGATGGCTACGGAGTTATGACCGTTTTTTTCATTCTCGTACACACCCTTGTGTGAACCGCATCTGTCAGCTGGCGGGTCGCTATTTTTAGCCAGCTATAGACAGAGCATTCTCATTATCTCGACACTTGATATGTACCTAAGGTAGGAAGGGTTGGTATGTCTGGCTCGGTTCACAACCGAGCAGCAGCCTGTGTTGCGGCTGGCAATGGCATTTTCGAAAATCAGCTTTAAGCACCAATAGATTCAAATTAAAGGTAATTTCACGAAGTTAACTTTACATTCATACTTTAAATGCATCATGTGTTATGCTGGTTTATTATTTTGTTCCATTTATTGTCAGTAATCGTTACCTTCTATTCTGAGTTTAAAACGGTCATAGGATGAATTTTAATATTATCCTCCCACCTATGCTTTTGCTCTCTAGCTTGCATATTGGCTATGCTGACTGATATTTTTTGTTCCAATCCTTCCAGGAAAATTTCAGGATAATGCCTTAAAACAGAACATGACTACTCCTCAGTTCATTTATACTTGTTAGTTTCATGCTATAACCTGTACACTTGAGAAAGTACCATTAAATTATCTATCTACTATATAATTGTGCTGCTCAGACATGTGTATTTTACTACAGTTGACCCACCACCATTTTGTTTTGTACATTCTTGATGTATTTTACTATAGTGAAACCTGTATAATTCTGTTCTTTTTCATTCTTTTTTAACAGGAATTCCAAAGTAAAAAGGTAATTATTTTTTCATATAATTTTTAATATCAGAAGATTGAAATTTTTGGATATGTGCAAGAGAATCAAGATTCAAATTAGATATGAAGGAAAACTGCACATACCAGATCAAATGTCCTCAGGTAAACTACTGAGATTGTAGAAAGTACTGGATATTTCGTTCAACTGATAAACTTCTCTAGTATGGAATTCATATTAAATTTTACTTATTTATCTAATGTCTCATGCTGAAAAGTCATATGATGTCCTTGCAGCCTGATAGACTGTTGATACTTTTCATAGTTAGGGATAAAAATGAGATAAATACTTAAAATAAAACAGAAATGTATATACAGGGTGTCCCAGGAGGAATGTGCCAAACTTCGGGAGGGTGTTCCTTATGTTAAAGTATGCCGATATAACCCAAAACACCTATGTCCAAAGTTGAACGGTTACGGAGATAATGGCCCGAGAAGTGTCAAACTTTGACCGGGGTTACACACTTGTTGATTACAAAATACATATTAAAACTGGCAGGAATATGTGGATTCTGTAATGTTAATAATGTACGTAACATCAAACCAACTTGTGAGTGACGGAAAGCCATAAAATTGAAGTACAAAATACTCGCTCGCCATGTCATAATTGTCCTTAGGTTTCCAAGCAGTATACATAACACATGACTGGCGAGCGATGACGTAACGTGCTGACTGCGCGTTCTGGTATGAGCCAACTACATAAGCACGGCTAGGGAGTATCATCGCACTCAAGGACAAACATAGATAAGGGCTCTCAGCTGAGAGGTACAGCGAGGTACAGTGCTTGGACCTGCCAGAAGACCACACTTTTCTTGGGCCATTATCTCCGTAACCGTTCAACTTTGGACATAGGTGTTTTGGGTTATATCGGCATACTTTAACATAAGGAACACCCTCCCGAAGTTTGGCACATTCCTCCTGGGACACCCTGTATATTAAATAAATTAAAATTATTTATTTATTGAACAAGTGAATAGCAATGTTGAACACTAGAATCAAACTGTATAAATGTGGGGAGACTGAGAAGTGACTAATATGGAACCTGACTTGTACGTATATCAAGACACCCCAAAATTACTCGGTGAGTGCAGTTTGTTGACATTTACTGAATATCCACATTTTTTCTGGTAATTTAAATGTTCCCAAGGGCATGTGTTCCTTTTAAAGAATGTGTACGCACTTTATTTTTTTTATTGCTAGTGGGGTGGGACTAAGTCCCTTGTACTGCGGCCACTTCTGGCCTATTGTACCAGCCCCAGATGATAGCTTAGAACAGAACTCAAAGAATACTAAGATGAAATGATCTCAGATTCAGATCCTGGCACACAAGAATCTTTGAAGCTGGTAACTCCTATGCTGAAGGTTACTGTCTTTTGGGACATTATGCCATGTAGTCTGGTAAATGTTTACTGACATATCAGAGGAATGTCTACCAGTCTACACAGCATCACATCTCAGGAGGCAATCTTTCATAGTCACCACTGTGAGAACCTCAAATCTCATGTAGGTCATATCCTGTTATGTTTCAGCAACCAAAAGAAAAATTTGAGCAGTTGATTATGATGAAATTCAGTCTCTTTTTGCTGCAGTTCCATTTGTTGTTTTATCTTTGTTAGATCTGTATTGTATGATCTGAAGTCATATGAATCAGCTGTTGCACTGACACCCATCCAGTTGCCACCACGCAGTAAAGTGATGGAGATTGCTGTCAGCAACACACACATCATCGCTGTAACCACAGGTTTCCTAGTCACTATTTACATGAACATTTAGATTGGACTTGAAAGTCTCTAAGTTTGTGCATTTGTAAATTTTGTTGAGCATGCCTCAGAGTCACATGGTAGATGACTGTTCTATTTGTGTGCATTAAAAGGACATTTGCACATCTTTTAACATACAAGTCCCATGAAAAGTCATCATGTAAAGAGGGACTTAAATTTCGCTCATTACATGCACCATACTATTTGCACATTCAACCACTGCTGACTTTTCTTCTGAGCACTTCATCACACAGCAGCTGTTAATTCACTGTGTAAGCCTTCATATGGACGTTTTTCAAGTTACTTCCTATTTGCTTATGTACTTATAAAAAGACTTACTCACATAATTCGAAAATTTGTGTGTTCTGACATCCCTAATATTTATAAGTCCATGTTTGCTGCCTTAGGATTCCACCTCAAATTTTTTGAATGTGAAATATGCATAGTTTATCAAGCTTGATACCTGGAAATTCTGATGTGTAATGGTTTTACCCAATCAGATCACTGAACTGTGAGATAGTATTGTGTGGCATATAGTGTGCATGGGAGGAATATGAAATAGATACAAAATTCTGGTCAGAAAACCTGAAGGGAAGACACAATTTGGGATATGTAGGTATAGATGGGAGGATAATATTAAGATGGAAATATGGCATGAGGATATGTTCTGAATTCATATGGTTCAGAATAGGGTCCAGGGGGAGTCTGTTGTGAGTACAATAATAAACCTTTGGATTTCATAAAAGACAGGGAATTTGTTAGCTAATGGAGTGTTTCTTGACTTCTCAAAAAGAACTCTGCTCTGTGAAGTCAGTGAGATAATGTTGAAATTCTGTTTACAGAGATGTTGGTGTACAGTTGGGGTGAGGGGAAGAAAGGTCAGTTGGGACATGGTGATACAGAACCATGGCGACAGCACCCTGAAATTGTGGAGTCCCTAAAGGGGAAGAGCATCAACAGGTAATAAGACACTGAAACTTCCCTCATTGTTATTGTTGTAACTGCCTCAGTGAAAGAAGATGACAAGGGAGGCCAAGGTCACACTTCTGCAAGCCCGTTACATCAGTCTGCCATGTGACATGATGCTGTGAAAATGAATTGTTTTTACATGAGTGCTTTTTTGACTTCATGTTTCCTTTTGTCTGTGATGGATGGCAAAAATCAATCAATATGTCTGCATCAAATTTTGTGTGAAGTTCGGTAAATCTGCTACCAAACCCTTGAAATGCTTCGTGAGGCTTTTGAAGAACATTTTTTAAGCCAGAGAGCGGTTTTTGAAAGGCATTCATATTTCAAGGCCAGTTGAGTCTCAGTTGAAGATGATGAACGTTCAGGGCAACCAAGAACCAGTAAAACAATAGAAAATGTTGAAAAAAATTCGAGAAGTCATCCATGAAGACTGTCGCTGAACAATCTATGAGCTCGTAGACACCAGTTATCAGTGATCAGTTACGGAGTTTTCCAGGAGATCTGAGCAGAAGATTTGAACTAGCACTGCACTGTGTGCAAAATCTGTTCCCCAACTCTTGAGGAATGATCAAAAGCAGCACGTGTGCCTTGAGCTATGAGAGAAGGCTAACAAGTAGCCAACTTTTATCTCTAGGATCATAGTGGGTGACAAAAGTTGGATTTACAGTTACAGTCCAGAAACAATGCAACAGTCATCACAGTGGAAGAGCCCACAATCAACAAGAGCAAAAAATGTGTGGCAAGTCCAGAGTTCAAAAAAAGAGCATGCTCAGTGTTTTTTTTTATGTGAAGGGAATTTTTCACTGTGAATTTGTTCCTCCTAACACCATGGTCAACCCTTACTTTTACTGTGACGTTTTGAGACACTTGAGAGGAAAGTGTGACAAAAGAGACCGGAACTTTAGTCCAACTACAACTGGCTCCTTCATCACAACAATGCACCTACCCGCACACCTCGGAAAACCACAGAGTTTGTGACTAACAACCTAACAACAACATGGATAATTGCCAAACTTAGCCCCCTGTGATTTCACTTTGTTTCCCAAATTAAAAATGAAACTGAAGGGACAACATTTTGAAACAGTGTCTGACATCCAAAGGGAACCACAAGCAGTACTCAACAGTATTAAGGAAAATGATTTCCACAGTGCTTTTGAAGCATGGAAAAGAGTGATGGGATCGCTTTATATGTTCCCAAGGAGACTATTTTGAAGGTGATAGCAACCAAAATTGAGTAAGTTAAGCCAGCACTTGCTTTTGACCTAATTCGAGAACTTCCTGATACCACCTTCAGATGTCAGAGGTCTCAGGCTGGAGACTGGTTGGATTAATTTAGGATTTGTTGCATGCCTTCTGCATCCTTCACATTTGGACAAGGAAAAAACTGAATGTAAGGAACACCAGGCCCACACTGAGATGGGGGTTTGTGTAAGCTGCAGGTACTCTCTATCACCCATGATCTTCATATGATTTGTGATAAAAAGAATTCCAGCAGAATATTTTCCTTTATATTGTCCTGTGAATGAGTGTGATTATAAATGGGTTTTGGATTGATGACTAGATTTATTGCACACTTTGATACAATGTGTGACTACACTTTACAGTTCACTATTACACACACACTAAAGTTCACAGTCACGTCTTTACTGCCGTTGCATGTTAATGGATTCATCGGCAAACATTTCACTTCCCCTGGGTTCCTGAACTGTCCTGCCTCAGCTCCCAGCTAACAGCAACAGCTCACAATGACTGAACCACATAGTTCTCTAACTGCAACAGCTAATTGATCCTGCTTATAACATCTCAGCACGGACTGCATAGAAAACATCCCTTCAATTTTTTCTATATTCTCTTGTTTACGGAGCCGTTGCCTAGCAACGGCTGGTGTGTAGTTGCTTATTTTCTGGCCGTTGCCTAGTAATTGATCTACATGCCATGGTGCTCCCTCCTTAAGGCTATTCATCCCAAATAGCCTACAGGCTTACCACCATTTCTCCATTTCTGAGGGCTGTGCTTGCAATATCTGTGATCAGCTTCGCCTTCTTACCCAGTGGCTCGGTTCTCATGGTCATTACTCTCAAACTGCTCCTGCTGCTACTTCCTTAGGCTGCTTGTTCTGAGTGGTTCCCTTAAGGTGCCAGCAGGTCTAGGTGTACCACCACCATCTTTCCTGAGGGTTGTGCTTTGGACGTCTCTTCTTTTGTGTCAGAGGGGACTGACCCCTCCACATTTTCCAGTCACTTCCTGTAGCCCAGTTGAAGATCAGAGTACTCGCTTTTTGATCTGCAGCTCTGTGGTCTTCCTGAAGATACTGCCAGATGTCCTGTTCTTCCTCAGATGTAGCTACCATCTTTTGCCTCAATCCTTTATTCTGCTGTTGCATTCTGGGCCATTCCATCATCTCTTCCTGACTGTCAGTCCTTTATGACTGTGGCCTTTACACCATGCAGGAGCGGCAGCCAACTTCTTGCAGGACCCACCATCACCCTGGGTCCATTTTTTGGCTGTCAGTGGCACCCTACAGCCAGATGCCAGTCTCAAGACCTGTCCTTCAGTGATCTGATAGTTTCAACTGTTGCCTCTTCTTTAGGGACTTCCTGATGCTCCATTACAGACTTCTTTTCCTCTGGATTTGCCTCCACCTCTTCTGAATAGGCCTCTGTTGTTTCTCAGTGGGCCTTCAACCCTTTTTGGCAGGTCCTTATTTCTGCCATCGTCTCCTCATGGCTGGCTTTCATCTGGGCCAGCAGTCATTCCATTATCTGTTCCATTTTCTTTGCTGTGAAAATATAATGGCCTAATGTCATCTTCAGTCCAGTTGAGCAATCAGTCCTATTCCATTATCCCACTTCTGACACCAGTTGTCAATTGTATGGAGCAGAAATTGATGGGGCTTTGGACTGGTGATTTGATTTATTGCACACTTTAATACAGCGCATAAATACACTTTACATTTCACTATTACACACACACTAGTATCCATGGTCACACCTTCACTGCTGTTGCTTGGTAACAGTTTCCAGCGGTTGATGTTCATCATCCTCTGGGTTCCCGAACTGTCCCACCTCAGCTACCAGCTTCTAACTGCAACAGCTTGCAATGACTGAACCCCATCAGTTCTCTAACTAACTGTAACAACTAACTGGTCCTGTATGTAACATCACAGAAAACATCTCTTCCATTATCACTGTATTTTCTTATTGCCATGGAAACATGCTAGTTTGCAGAACCGTTACCTAGCAACAGCTGTTGTAGAGCTACTTCTTTCGTGGCTGTTGCCTAGTAGTGTGTCCATGTGCCTCAGTATGCATGCATTGGGAGCTGTTTCATACTGTTCTCTTTAAAACAGTTCTTTTGCAATATGGTTGGTATAGTTTGCTTGCGGACTCAAGCCACAGGGTTTGTGCACCAGTCAGCAGACAAACACAAATTTGTTGACAGTTTCATGTTCAGATTTTGCGTAAAGAAACTGTGATGTGATTGAAATGCAGTTCCCACTTTATTATCCAGGTCACATGATGAGCCAGACACCTGTTTTTACGAACATTTTTCCCCAGTGCATGTCACCTTTTCAGGTATTTTGCTTATGGATGAATACCGTAAATTTCTTTAATTGTATTGTTTTTAACCCAGTGTCATTTATTATCAAATTTCTATGTATCTAGAGACTGTTTTGTGCCTCGTCCAGTCTGTTCTGTTCTCATGCAATTGAAGACTGTCAGGGTAACTAGATACCTTAGCCATATCCCACAGAGGAATAGTAGCATGTGTGTGTTATGTTTGCTTAATTCTGGTCTTACCATCTGTCATAAGTATATATTTGTAATTTCTATTTGGTGACAGAGTTGGTGCTGGAGATGGCTACAGTGTATTTGTCAGTGACTCAGGAATGATGATGACATGTGGTGATGGCACATTTGGCTGCCTTGGTCATGGTGACTGGAACAACTCCATTCGACCTCATCTCATTGGTGAGTGCCCATTCTTAGAACATAGATTGTGCCCCACTGTCTATTATTATTGGAGAAAAATGAGGAATTTCGAATTCACGTTACAAATTATTTTCAACATTCAGCAGTCAACTAATGATAAAGAGACTAATTTGTAAGGCACCTGACAACAACACTCTTTATTTCACTTTTTTAAACAGGAGTAGGAAGATATACTCTATTTTGAAGTATACATGCTTGGTAAATGTGTTCTTCATGATTTTGCAGCCCTTATTGGTCTCGATAGTCGCTTATTGCAGATAGAAATTGTCACATAGCTAATGATACTGCACAGAAGTTGACATTAGTTGATTTTGTATTTCATTAAATATTCACCATATCAAAGAATGTTTATGGCTGCTGGTGGGCAGCAACAAAATTTGTCAGAAAAGTTTACTTTTTATTATATTGGCCACCAGTAATCCTAACTATATGCCAGCTGTTTTAAGACCTGAGGCCATTACCAACAGATGGATTGCTGGATTATAAATGATTACAGTTTATTGAAATGTCATGGCAATTTATTATAAGTGCTGCTGACTTAATACATATTACAGACAGGTTCATATACTCGTATTATGCAATAATTTCTTTAAACAAATTTGTTGATTTGTTAATTTTATTGCTCGGGATATAGGTCAGTAATGGGCTATTGTGAACACAGTAGTGAACCATCCAGTTCCATAGAAGACAGGGAATATCTAGATTAACTTGCCAACTGTTAGCTTTTCAGAATGGGCTCTCCTTCATGGAATGAGGTGCACACAACACTTTAGCAGCCCACAGATAGAGAAACACTGCTTTACATAAAATCCAAGCTATCTTTGTCAAATTTCTAAAATGGCATTAACTGTTCCAGTATGTTGAGGTTTTAGGAACAAGCATTTAAGCCTAATCTTACATGGTTTGTGATGGTGATATTAATGATAAAAAAAGTGGGAGCACTATGAAGTACTGTTATTATAGGCTCTATAAGATTTATGTGAAACATTTTTCAGTATGGTGTGTACTTAATAAAATAGAAGAAAAAAAAATATGTTTCTCTGCATTGTAATATCATTATGGTTAATTAGCTTTTACAACAGTGGAATTTATGGCACCATATAAGTAGTATTTCTTATGTTGATATACTGTAAATTCATAAACTCCTGTATACTCCATACTCATATTTACAATAGAATCTTCACATCTTTTTACCACAAAACTGTGTGTGAAAGTTATGGTTCATAAAATATGCAAATACTATCTTTCAGACCTTAATTTATTGGGTATTTGCACCTACAGTCTCAACCACACAATTTTTTATGGCCATTTGAACAAAAATTATCCCTGATAAAATTTTGTCCTACACATAATTTTATTGGAAAAGATGTTTAAAGTTGAATTCAGTGTGGTAAAGTGGTATGGATATTTGTCCCTGTGTGCTCCATCATGTGATTTTTTTATTAATGTTGAGACAGAGGACTCCTATATAAAATTTTGACTTATGCATATTTTTTGTTGAAAATGTAATTAAAGTTCCACATACTTTATTGTCAATATGCATATAACTCTGATCATATTTGTCATGAAAACTGTGCATAAGTTGAAATTTTATCAGCAGTAAAAATATGGTGTTTACTTTTGTTCTAGGTTTTTGTTTAATAGTAGGGTACATAAATTATGCAGAGGGACAGATTTTGCGAGTAAATGTGGTACACCTGTTGCTCTTGCTAGTGTCTGCACTGTTTACAGAGAAGCTGCTGAGTGTGGATGTGGTGGTGATTGGCTGTGGTCCACATCATGTTGCAGTGCTGAGTCAAGATGGGGAAATGTACACATGGGGCAGAGGTGATGGAGGGCGCCTTGGGCTGGGCCATGAGGAAGACTGGTACTTAGCATAGACTGCGAGAATAAATCACATCAGCATAGTGTTTGATTGTAGGTTATTTACTCACACAGTATAGTGCATTGGCTGATTGATTTAAAGTCACCTCATCTGTATTGGTTATTTCTGCTCTAGTGTAATGTTTCTGGGGACCTGGGTGCAGCTTAGGAGTTTGTGAACATGAGAATGAACCTTCGGGTTCCATAAAATGCTGGGAAATTCTTGAGTAGCTGCAGATTTAGCTTTTCAAGAAAGGGTCAGCTCCATAAGTAAGTAAGTAAGTAAGTAAAGTGTATGATGTAATTACTGCAAGTGATGACAAAATCATATGGGTATCATTATTCAAAAACTGGTAAGTATGAAAAATATAAGCTATAAGATCAATAAAATTTACAGTGAAATTTGGGTTTCCTGAGCTGAAACAAAAAGGATGTCCCCCACCACCACCACCACAAGGCTTGGGGCTGACGTACTGTTGAGCACACCCACTGTACAAGTATAATATCCATCTTCTCTATTTTATCAGCATTTAAGCAAATTTAACCAAGACTTGAAACCTGAACTTCAACTTAATTTTAATATTTTGGTAATGACATTTCCAATATACTAAACATGTTCATAGTGTTCACCATATGGAAGTGAGGTTGGCATTAAGCTTTATCATCTGGGAATAGGGGATTTTAAATGTTAGTTTTCCTGAAGTCCCTCCAAGACGTATGAGTAGTTTGCTTGACTAATAATAATGGTTTCTGGATTTGATGAATGGATTTATTGGCCTTCTTTACAATTACAATCAGTTATAACAGCTCACAGTCAGTGACTGTCTAAGACTCACTCCATTCCTTACTGAACTATGAGTGTCTTCTCTTCTTCTATGATGAATGACGACCAAAGTATCACTGCTCACTCTTTGAACTCCCCCTTTTTTTTTGTATTGCTTTTGGGGTGGGACTAGTACCTTGTACTGCGGCCACTCTGGCCTATTGTACCAGCCCCAGATGACAAGTGAGGGTGATTGTGGAGCAATTGGTGGAATGAAGATTGGCAGGGGAAACCGAAGTACTCAGAGAAAACCTGCCCCATCGTCACTTTGTCCACCACAAATACTTCTTGACCAGACCCTGGATCGAACCCGGGCCACCGCGGTAGGAAGCCAGCGACTAACCTCTTGAGCTATGGCGCGGCCTTTGAACTCCCTTACAGATGAATCATTGAATTCACAAATGAACTCCCTTTTATAACTTGGGGAGAACTGAAAAGAGATCACACACACTCAAATAGTTAGTTGTCGTTCTCTCATCACGGGAATGTTTTTTGTTAATATTCGTTATCATGGAAAGATGTCAATCTGTGGCAATGCTTTGACCTTTACCAGCATATCTGTTGCAGCAGGAACACAATTACTGAACTGTTGCTTAGCAATGGACGTCGGCTGCGGCTCCACTATTCTAGCTTTCAGGCGGTGCTTAATGAACCATTGCCTACCAATGGTCATATTCATCACAGTATTGTGTCTTTATCATTTTCTCTACAATACACCATGTGGGAAAAATGTGGGTAGGGTGGGATGACGTATGGAAGGACATGTGGCTGTTATATATGTGTGTATACTGTTTTACTGCAACAAATGGAAGTGTCTCAACATGTTACAGCTGTTCTCCTGTAAAGGTGACACTACCCGGTGACTGTGTGGTGCGCACTTTGCGTTGTGGAGGGGATGGCACTGCTGTCATTACATCAGATGGAACACTGTTGACTTGTGGTCGAAACTCATTCAATAAACTAGGGCTTGCAGATTGTAATCGAGGATTTTTCTCCTTTAACTTCAAAGTGAGTTCTATAATTTATCTGTAAGTCACTAAATGAGTCAGGATATCTGAATTGGCAAAATGACTAACTACCAAGCTATAAGACTTGTGTCTGAATTCTGGAAGATTGTTTTTATGACTTACACAGCATTCTCTATGGTGGATACAGGAGGTAAAGTGGTTGAAGCATTAATCTAGTACTTAGGTTAGTCCCACTCCTCTTAAATTTTCATATTATAGTGCTTAAGCACAGGGACGTCTCATATTAACTCAAGATATTTCAGCTTCTTTAGAGGAAGTTTATTAGACAGAGGTGGATATTGTGGAATCTTGACTGTCTTTGCTTAATAGAATCAAATGCCCCACATCACATTGCTGGTATTATTTCATATCTGATGATAATAATTCGTCTTATCATTGCTTGTCATTTATCACAGTTTATTGACAGTACTGGTGAAGTCCTGTTATGTCCTAAAGTAATGCTATTATTATTTTTTAGTACAGAGTGAAGTGTAGTATTATAAGGTGGTTCTAAAAATAGATTTTTATTTTATAGGTTTGGAGAGAAAAAGAAAAGAATTTTGTTGTATGCAGGCTGTTTGTGTGTTTGTTTGCCAAGACCACTAATTTTAAACAAGTAGACAGTTTTTCATGCAGTTTGGTAAGATTTGGAAGGGCAGCCTGAAGATTTTGTTATGAACCCTAGTTTCAATGGTACTATGTGGTTGGCTTAGCATACTTTTCAGGTATAAGCAGCACTAATGCCATTCAATTAATAACTTCCAAATTATTCATTTCATAAGTATGTGGAAGTCTGTTGAAGGCAGTGGTGTACCATGACATCATAGTGTGGAGGGAGGGAATTTGATAAAGGTGTAAAATAGCACTGATAGTTTAGTTATACAGCAGTTCTAGAAGTTTCTTGTGAAATCCAAATATCCATCCATGTGAGCCGTTCTAAGGTTTAGCTCGCTCACGTATGATGTCATCATGTTTCCCTTGACGGATTCCATCCCCACTATGCAGTATCCTGACGTCAGTCACGTGGTCCCATGTACCCTCTTGTGAAGAGGAGACTTGTACAGTGCAGTCGTGTAGACCAAGTTGACTTGGAAGGTCGGTTACTAGCCAGCAGGTTTGTTGTGGAAAAATATTGGTTTCAGCTGGGTCTGTTCTGAATTCCCTTTTGGTGTTACCTGGCTGGCCGGTAAGGACTGCCCGCGGTTGCAAGCCGTTGCTTGAACGCTTGCGACGCGCGTTATTAGATTTGGTTTGGTATTCTTCAGAATTAGACTTGTGTTTGTATAGCCTGAGGGTTTAACGTCCTAAAATGTCTAGTGTCGACACAAGTGGTGCTGACAGGAAATTGTTTTGTTCTGAATGAGCTTGTATTAGTTTTCTTGGTCAAATGTGTCGTTTGTTATTTATGTATTGTTATATATTTTTTTTATTAAAATTGTACTTGTTCTTATCTAAGCCAACGAACTGAGTGTAGCTTCCTCCTCCTAGCTTGGATACCCCATGTCCATCTAGGGGAGCGTGGGAACCAACAATAGGGCCAGTAACGATTGCGCTGTGCCCTTCCTCTTCGTAATAATAATAATAACATAATAATAATCAGAAGGAGAAGAAGACGAACGGCACGTGCACATGTTATTACAAAATCATGTCATTGAATCCTATGCTGAGCCAGTTCAATCAATTTCACGCCCTCACAGTCTGTTGCTCTGAAATATGGTGTGGTGGGATGTTATGAAAGTAATGAAAATCTTTGTACAAGCCTTTCTTATATACATTACAACCTCATTATAATGAGAATTGATCACATTTGTAAATATGCTCATTCTAATGGGTACTTATAATATAAAAAATTGATTGATATATATGTAAGTAAAGTAAAAAAGTAAAGATATCCCTGTAACAGGCTGTGGAGGCCCATAGGGTTGTGAGATGTTGAGGTTCCCACATTTTCTAGACAATCGGCTCGTAAATGGTGGCAAGGTTGTCAGCCTTATGCACCAAGAATATTCTTTGAATATTCTTGGTACTCATTTCTGTTATAGGCTGAGTCGACCCCAGGGCCATAGTGCAGCTGGAAGGATTAGGTCAATTGAAAAAATATTCCAGTGACCTCATCGGGACTTGAACCCACAACCTTCCGGCTTGTAGCATAGAGCCTTAACCAACTATGCTACTGCGTGCCCCCAATTGATATATATATATGTATAGTCTTTAAGTATGTCTCCTAACTTCTAATACCATATGTTTTAGTATGGCACTGCAGTTTAAAATATAATTTCAGTATGACAATATCCATCATGATTATCACTGAGATAAGGAAATAATGAAGAATAACCTAATATTTTTGACATCTCATTAACCAAGGAGTTATAGATTTTCTCATACTTACATAACCCGTTGTTCCCATAACTGCCTGCTTAGTAAGATCTGTCCATTACATACAGTAATCCCATCGACTGTTTGCTGCATACCAATGATACACAAAGAAGTTAAAATTGGACTGCTCACATACCTATGTATGTATGCTGTGTTATGGCCTGGTTATAACACAGCAGAGTCACCTGACACTA